CCTGGCCGGTTTGGCCTTACTCTTGACATTTGGACTTCGAAGCAAACTCTAGCCTACGTGTTTGTAACCGGTCACTTCATTGATGGCGATTGGAAGCTGCAGAAAAAGCTTCTTAATGTCGTGGTGGAACCATTTCCGGAATCTGACGCAGCTCTGAGCCGTGCTGTTGCTTCCTGCATTGCTAACTGGAATCTTGATGGAAAGATGTTCTCTGTTACATCCAACCATCCGGCTAGTAAAGAAGCCATCGAAAATCTAAGAATTCTACTCTCCGCCAAGAACCCGAATATCTTCAATGGTCAGTTGTTGATCGGGAATTGTATTGCCCGCCTCTTCAGCAACCTTGCGAAAGACGTGTTTCTTAAAGGAGCAGATGTGATCGAGAAGATCCGTGATAGCGTGAAGCATGTGAAAACCTCTGAATCGCCCGAGGAAACGTTTCAAGTTCATACAGAGAGGACACCACTTTCCCTCGACGATCAAACTCAATGGAACACGACGTATCTGATGCTCGTGGCTGCTTCGGAATCAAAGGAAGTGTTCTCATGTTTAGGGACCGCTCCATCAGCCGAGGACTGGAAACGGGCCGAGACCCTTTGCACGTTCTTGAAGCCCCTTTATGATGCAGTATCCACTCTTGAATCTAATGTAAACCCACATGCGGTTAACTGTTTCCACGAAATCAGGAAGACGCATTCAGATCTCTCTCGTGCCATCGCTCGTGAAGAGGATCCTTGCATCGGCGACCTCGTCAAAACCATGATAGTGAAGATCGAAAAGTACTTGAAAGATTCTAGCTTGGTTTTGGCCATGGCTGTGGTAATGGATCCTCGGTACAAAATGAAGCTTGTGGAGTTCAGTTTCTCAAAACTATTCCGAGAAGACGCCCGTAAGAACATCAAAGCTGTGGATGACAGGCTTCACGAGCTCTTCAACGGGTATTTAGCGCTTCCTCAGCCGCTCACTCTGGCCTACGCTGAAGGAGAGAGCAGCCTGAATCCCGATGGATTAGCAGATTTCGACGTGTATATAATGGAGACGATGGGACGGAATCTGAAATCCGAGTTGGATCGGTACCTGGACGAGACATTGTTGCCTCGCCATGTTAAGGAGTTCAATGTGTTGGAATGGTGGAAGCATAACAAGCTGAGATACCCGACGTTATCGGGGATGGCTCGGGATATTCTATCGATCCCGATGTCGGCTGCTGCGGATTTCGGTAATGTTTTCGACATAGAGTCGAGGGAGATGGATGCTTACAAGACATTGCTTAGGCCTGAGACGGTGGAAGCTCTGATATGTGCAAAGGATTGGTTTCAATCTCAATCTCAACCCCCAAAACTCCAATGTCAAAACCGGACAATAAGGGACTATTAAGTTTGTGGTTTTAGTAAAAATAACAACAACAACAAAACTGAAAACTTATTGTGATTCGTATTAGGATTCTTTGAATTTTTCATTCTTTTTAGAGTTTTACTGAGCGAAACTTTTACCCTGTACTCTGTAATTTATATATATATATATATATAAAGTGATAAACCTATACACAGAAATCATGAAGAAAACCTCAAGTTTAACCTCCTCAACCAGACAGAGTGAAGCAACATATGAAGCATATCGTAAGGCTTGGACGGTCTGTTCAACGCGAAATGCCTCTGAACTTGCAAAACCCTCTTCTGCAACACCATGTACCGTTTCCTCGACACCCTCTTCAGTATCCTCTTCATCTCCGGAATCTTCTCCGACGGAATCTGAATCGTAAATTTGCTCCAATCCAACACGTCGCTGAAGGGTAACGCGTAATGATCCGATATGATCACCGGAACGCAGCCTAAGTTTATCGCGGCCACGACTCGAGGGCTTGCGACTTCGTAGCCGCTGGGACAGAGACAGAACATTGTTCTTGACATGAGGTTGTAGTAATCCAATCCTTTCGGGAGGTACTCGTGGACTTGGATCTCATCGTCTTTGTCTTTCCAATGTTGGAGGAGGGTTTTGCGGATTTGCCCGTGAGAGCCTCCTGCGAAGAAGGCGAAGATGTTGCGGTCTCGGACCGGGAGGGATAGCCGAGGAGGGCCGAGTTGGCCCGGTGGAATGTTGATCTCGGGGATCGGTACATCTCGTCGAGGTTCGAAGCCTTCGGACGTGTTAGCGTTGCATAGTACTCGTATCAAGTTCTTCGTGCGTTCTGGATCCGCTACAGAGACGTCTGGTGCCTGTACAATATTTTCAAAATAGGATGTTTTTAGTGTTGTTAGAATCCATCGAATATAGTGTATCGATCCACAAGCAAATGAATCGGTATTAATTTAACACGAAGACATCGTCGGTCCTCCTCGAAGCTTTTATATTTCGAGTGATCTAACTCGAATTTCAGTGTATATATATATGTGTGTGAATTTTGGTCCGAGACCTAAAACCCGCCCGAAAAATGATTAGTTTTGGGTTTGAATTTGTAGGTCCGAAAAAAAATCAAGTTTTTGTATCAGGTTCAAATTGAGTTTTGGATTTGGTCGGGTTAAGTCCGATGAGTTTCGGATTGATTCGAAAACCCGATTTTTAAAAAAATACGAAAAAATAATTCAAATGAAAAAACCCTAATCTAACGGTCGGATCGGTCCGCTTGTCACTCTATATATACCACCGAATCATGTAAATGAAGATACGGGAAACGGTCGGAGAAACTCACCCAATCATGGCAAGAAACCAAGAAATGGTCGGCGCCGTCGGTTCGGTTCCAGAAAGGATACTTGGTGGAAACGGTATCGATATAATCGAGAATGACATGTTGAAGCTGCTCTCTCGAGTAGGTGACGAGAGGTCGGTAAAGGTAGTGAACGATATTGGCTACGCTGACGGGAATGAAGAAGGCGTGAGCCTCCTCGGGTCGGGCCGCAAGGTATCGGCTCATATGACTGTGGAGCTCGTCCATGAATTGGCCCTCGATGCCGTAAATGTTGTTCAGTGGCCCCAAGTGCACCAAGGGAGGCTCCCCTTCTTTGTACACCCATACCTTGAATCTCTTCTCCATCTCTTTCTGACTTCTGCTTTTTTTTTCAATAAATAAAATAAAATATTACTTTTATCCATCATTTTAGTAGTGTTATTAGTAGTGTTAGTATAACAAAAGGTTATCCAAATTTGGATAATTCAACCGGATAAAAAGGAATACAAAACGTTTGTCTTATCTCGAATTCGAACATAAAATATGAGAAAGAGACATATATTTCAAATCACATGTTTGACTTTCGATTCTAAAATTAGTTTGGATATTGATCCAAAATATTCTGTTACCGAAAAAAAAAAGTTAATGGATTTGATGTTTTGTAGTTTTTTTTATCAACTGTAATCATTTGCCATATTTTTTTAACACAAGATGCAGATATATGTCGGTATATGAATATTTGTGTACATGTATGATCATATAATATTTAAATTGAACAAAATAAAATAAATGAATAATTTTTTTTAAAAAGTTTTTCTTCGCTACCAATCTCCTATTAACGACATTTTGAAGTGGCAAAATCCAATTATATAATCTACTGTCCCTAACCATTTTACAAGTAAAAAATCATTTTGCAAGTAAAAAAATGCAATACCAATTTTGACGAATTTAATTTGGTACAAATTTTCTTTTACCATTATTTTTTTTATGTTTTTTATATTGTTTAATAATTGGTTTGAGCCACATCCCATATATTACTCTTGGTGTGGAAAATGGCAGAATCCCATATATTACTCTCCGTGTGGAAAAAAATACCAGAATCCTAATTTCCAATTTAATTTTCCAATCGGAATTAAGTGGACCGTAGATTGACCTTATTTACGACGACATAAATGCGTTAATTACGATACTATTTAATTAAATAAAACAAAATTATATCTATTAGGCGTTGTAAAAGGGCATAAAAAACATGAAATTGGTGCTATATATATATATGTCACATAGCCTAATGAAATATAAGAAAATTCTATACAGTATTTATTTGTCACATAGTTCATTTGCAAGGAAGGCTTCATGGTTGGTCAAATATGTAACACTAGTTAACCCCAGAGAAAAATACTATTTTCTTTTTTTATATTATAAATAAATAAACCAAAATAATAGATCGGGATACCAAGCCGGATCTTGCGTCGGAACTACTACAACGATGGTTTGGGTAACTATGAAGTTGGTTTGGATTTTGATTCTTGACATCTCTACTAATTTTGGCGCAAAGCCTTTTTTGGTTATTTTGGTTTTTTTCGCTTTTGAATAAGCGGAAAAAATCTACATGTACAGTTTTGAAAGTTACAAAAAAGAAACGATTAAAAATAGGGGAAACGTCTGTACCTTTTTTATTATATATATAATTAGTATCAAATAGTATTATTCAATTTGTTTCGATTCGGGTTTTATATTTTAGAAACGAAATATTCACCCCGACCAAATATTCCAAAGAAAAAGGTTTACAAAATTAAATCTCAAGTTTTTTCCCCCTAATTTTCACCGTTTTTGTCATAAGTTTTTTTCTTCCTAGTTTATTTAAAAAATTGTTTAATATATTTATAAAATTCCAACGAAAAGAATGGATTTAGCCAAAAAAAAACATGTTTCGAATCGATATGGGTAGCAATTTTAATTTTGACAATGTTATAAAATCAAACGAAGAAGTTTTGGTCAATTTTTTTTCGTACTCATCCCAAAACTTAATTAAACTCATAATGACTTTCCTAAGACAGAAATAAATCGGTTTAGCGAAAAAAAAAACAAAAATAATGGGAAAAAAAAGAGAGAGAGAGGACTCACCGATGAAATGCGAAAGGGTTTCTGTAGACAGCTCCTCGAGGAACAAGGCTTCCGCCTTTGTCCGATGCGTACTTCTTTGTCTCTACGGCTTCGCGTATCATCGCTCTTGCTTCCCCCAATTCCTCTTCTATTCTCCCTATTTTCTTCCCATTTTCTCCCTTTTAAAACCCATAAATAAATAAAAAAACTTATAAAATTACTAAAATCATTTAGAACAATTACACGATAACGATGCATTTAATCCCTTGGAAATTATTGATTCGTTCGATCTTTTCTAAACCGTACATTCTACAAAAAAATGACAAATTAAAATTTTCGTTAATTACGGGTGTCAACTACCCTTTTATATTCGTTATAAAAAAGATTAATAATGAATTAAAAAAATGATCATACCTTTTGGTGATTAGACACTGTTGTGATGTTTATCAATCCGAATCTCGTCTCTAGGGTCGGGATCGGGGTCGGGGTCGGGATCAAAGATGCGAGAGGAGAAAGAGAAGGAGAAGGAGATGGGTAAGAAATCGGGATGAAAGAAGAGAAAAGGATCAAGTTTTGATTTCCATATGCACAATAAAGAACTACAAGAGCAACAAGAAGAAGAGGTCCAAGAGAGAGTTTGATGCAAACAAAGTGAGATTTTGTCATTGTGATCACTCGCTTCTTGGTAGAAGGGAATGAGGTATTAGGGAAGACGATGAATATATAAGAGAATAAATATTGCTTTTTATTAATATGATTTGTGTTACAAAGGAATGCATATATATAGAATGAGAAATGATACAAATATGTTAATATGTCAAATATTTCTAAACTTATAAATATGTCAATATACTAATACGCCCCTCAAGATATAGAACCGTAGGTGATATCAATCTTAACATAAAAATTATAAAACGAAGAACCCAACAAAGACAAGCGAAAATCTTCCACTTAGTGGTGTGATTATATATATACGCACACCCATTTAAGGAAAACATGATATTATATATATATATATATGTATGCAATGTTGCTATATAGACTAAATCGAAAGAGAGGTTAAGGAATTAATTTGTATTTACTGCTTCTTAATTACCAATATTAAAAGTCTTTTGCCTATCGGTATGGCATGGTCTATTCTATCATCTATGCGTAATAGTATTTAATGACCATGACCTTTTTATTTTGTGTTTTTTTTTTCTTCATGCATTGTTTAATTTGGTTTGGTTATGGAACCGGTTTAGGTTTTGTTCGGGGTCGGTTAGACAGAACTCTCCCGGTTTGGATAAATTGGTAACCGTTCTTACTTAGTGTTGGTTAAGCATTGACCATTTATTGACGTCCTGTACGAGAGTTAACACTAAAATTCACATTGGTGTCGTAAATATAAATGTGGATAATATGATATTTAAGGGATTATAATGGCATTTTAGCTACAACGGACATCGAGTTTCAGTTTTATTAGTTTTCACTAAAAAAATTATTTTAAATTCAATTTTCTATTATTTTTCTTATTTGGTTTAAATCCAGTACTAAATTTAATTTAAGAAAATCAAATTAAATAAATATTCGTGTCAAGTTTGCGACTAAATATTATTCGATTCCACACTATTTTTCGTTTCCCAATCGAAATATCCACCTATTATATCGATAATTAGATGATGATCATGCTTGGTTAATTAAAGGATATGTAAACAAACACCCCGCCGATACACTATTAAATAAGAAATTATAACTTTGATTTATTGAATTTAATTTTAGTGTAGACAAGTAATTTAGTATATGACGGAGGCATTATTTTAAGCACTTGAAAGAACTTGGAGAAAGAAAAAAAAATATACAAGAAATTGGTATCCACCAAATAAAATTAAAAAAAAAAAGACATTATAAAAATAAAAATTAGACAAAAATGGCATGTGAATCAAGGAGTCAACCTAATGTTTAACCTCCTTAACCAAACCGAGTGAAGTATCATATGGATCACATCAAACGGTCGAGCCGGCCGGTTTACCACGAAGTGCCTTCTCACCCTCATCACGTTCCTTTGCATTCTCAAGTACTTCTCTTGTGAAATGTTCTTCAGAATGTTCTTGATCTCAGGTATCTTTCCCACCGGAATCTCGACGGAAAACTTGCTCCAGTCGAGCACATCGTTGAAGGGCAACGAGTAATTATCGGAAATAACGACTGGAACGCATCCCGAGTAGATCGCTTCGACCTCTCGAGGGCTTGCGACTTCGTAGCCGCTAGGGCAAAGACAAAACTTGCTCCGACCGATCAGCTCATGGTAGTTTTGGCCTTTCCCGAGACCATCGTACACTTGGACATCTTTGTCTTTGTTCTTCCAATGAGCGAACAACACTTCTCTAATGTAGCCATGAGCTTTCCCGGCAAAGAATGCCAAGATCGTCCTGTTTTCGGGTGCTTGGCCTAAGAACGGCGGCCCGAGTTTTCCCTTTGGAATGTTAATCTCGGGTACCGAGAAATCGATACTCGGTCTAAACCCTTCGGATGTATTAGCATTGCATAATCCTCGGACGAAGTCTTTGTAGAACTCGGGTTTGCTATCCGGTACATCGGGGGCCTAAAACCGCGTAACAAACTCATCAGAATCACAAAGTTTGCAACTTTATTTACAGTATTCATGTACTATATCGTTTTTACGAGATATTATCGATATCTATTCGTTACGATTATTGGATTTCGATCATATATATATGTTCGTCATATGGGTTCTGCAAAACGAAAGTTCATCACTTCCATCTCGCGAGAGAATATTAAGATATACATTATGAATATCTAGTTGTTAATGTCCGATACCACAGAAAGTTTTTACGAGTCTTACCCAGTCGTGGCACGAGACCATGAAATGATCGGCGCCGTTGCTCCGATTCCAAAACCCGTGTTTGCGGGAAACGACGTCGACGTAGTCGTTGAAAACGCGGTGGAGGCGGTCCCGGTTGAAGTCGGCCGGGGAGGCAATAGGTTTGTAGACGTAGTGAACGATGTTGGCTACGCTAAAGGGCAAGAAGAAGGCGTGGGCTTCTTCCGGCCGCGGAGCCACGAAACGGCTGTTTCGGACGTCGTTTCCGAGCTCGTCGACGAACTGGCCCTCGATGCCGTATATGTCATTCACCGGACCGTCGTGAACGATCGGTTGCTCCCCTTCTCTGTATGTCCAAACTTTGAATCTCTTCACCATTTCGATGTGACTCCTGTCGGTATATTTCAATATCATGTGTCTAAAATGTTAGTTAAACCGTAAAAGAATAATAGGGAAATGTTCTAGTCCGTTATATAATGATAACCAAAAACCAGGTTTGGTCATTTCGGTTCGGTTAGGAAAAAACCGAACATTTCAAACCGAATAATGTATAAGAACCAAATATAATATAAAAACTAAATCGGTATAAATATTGTAAAATCGAAAAATAACCAAACAGCGAATAAAATATAAAATATCATTATAAAATGAGTATTTTTATTAATAAAAAACTGAATACGACTTAAAACTGAACCTAATCTAATCTAATATGAAAATTAAATGAATTTTAAATTGAAAATTTCAGAACAAAAATAATACGGTTATGAAAGTTTGTGATATTTCCCACTTTAATATATAAAATTGGTATTCAAATGCCAATACAATAGAAATACTGTCAAGTGCTATATATATTTGGGTAATTTAAGCAACTAGTGGCATTACATAATCTCCTCAAAATTTTAGGCAATTATTTTTTTAATCAATAATATAAAATAGGATTGATGTATGGCAGATTAATGTCTCTCGAGATTGCTTCTTCTCTGCCAGACAGTTAAATGCCTTTTATTTTTTAATCCAATATATGATTTTTGGTAATTTTACAAAAAAAAATGTACCAAATTTTATTCGATTATTATGTTTAAAAGTCTTTTATTAATAGATTTAAGACTATTGAACTATTTTTTTTTTGGCCCACAAAAAAACAGTATATATAATTAAACGAGCATTAATTTAAGTTGATCCGGCATATTGCCACTGAGCACATCCACGGAAATTTCATAATGCCGTGTGAAAATGACGTGCACCAAGATTTTGAAAATTCAGAATATATACACACACACACATATACACATTTATTTTGTATCTGTTTATTTAATTATATGGTCAAACCACACATTGTTTGGAATTATTTATTTATTTTCCATTTGTTTTTGTTTCAAAATAAAATAAATTTTAAACGAAATAATTAAAATGAAAGAGAGAAACTTACTGATGGAAAGCAAATGGGTTTCTGTAAACGGAGCCGGTTGGAGCGTAGGGCTCCTCGTGGTCCGACGTGTAATTCTTCAACTTCACGGCTCTTCTAATGGCCCTTCTTGCATTTGCCAACTCTCCTTCTATTCTCTCGAGATTGCTCCTTCTCTGCCCGACATTAATCTTAATTTATCAATTAATTAATCATTAATAACCTTGATTAACTTGCCTTTATTACCATTTATTATTATTATTGCAATATATATTGTGAATTAGTTGATCCTATATTGCTACATGATATACATGTTACATGGGGATGGATTTTCAAAATTGGTTTGGGACCCGTAAAATCAATGCTGAATTTCCTTAATTTCATATGCATTAGTTTAAATAATAATAGTTTTATATTTGTCTATGATGATACACGTAGTAAATTAACGACGATTTTTATTTATGTATTAATAAGTAAATTACGGAGTTTCCATAACCCTATAAGATTAAATAAAAACTATATATTTGACAAGATATTGCAATTGCATGCTTCGAAACACAAATTCTTGTAACGTTATTTGCGCAGATACAAACGAAATACAAAACAAACAAAAGTTCTTGCAATACAAAAGGAATTGTTCATCATCTCGAATGTGGTGTTTGAGTTTATGGTCTAGGGAACAAGTTGATAGATTTAATAATCACTTTGTTTGATCTGATTTTTAATATTCTACTTAATTGTAAGCAAACTTTATGTGAATATATATAAGTTTATACCAGAAATGGATATAATTAACATAATACTCACGTTTTCTTCTGTGTCTTTGACGAGGTTGTTGTTGAACATTGGATCTTGGTGTAAGAAGGATGATGATGATGATGATGATGATGGATGATGGCGGTCATCAAGAAGAGATGACAAAGAGATAGAGGAGAAAAACTGTCGATAGTAGGACTCGTCGGGGAAAGAGGAGAAAGAAAGAAAGAGGAGAACTGTTAGAAGAAGAACTAATGGAAACCCTAATAACCAAGAAGACGAGCTCTTTGAGGAGGAAGAAGAAGGCATGGCTTCTCTTTCTTTCTTTGTGCTTTCTCCCTTGATTCTTTGTAATTCCTTGTACTCAAGATTTCTTTCTATGGCCTTTGGTGTGCCTTTATATATATATACATATATGGCCATTTTTAAAAAAAATTTGTGGGTCCAATTTAATTTCATGGTTTACCAAGAGGTCTGAAGTGGAAAAAATGTTAAATTTTAAGAGAATAGTAATAGTTTTTTCTTTGCCAATTAAAATATGCTAAAGTGGGGGTTTGGATTCTATTCTTGTTTTCTAGACGAAGTATCTCTTTGATATAAATAAAGATTTTTTCCCACACATAATTTAATTCTTTTGGTCCAACTAAATCTTTAGAGGATTGGTAAAATCCGAGTGAATATCACTCCTCACACTTAGATTTAAATCCGAGATAAAATTATGTTTTGAATATTCTATTACCATGAAACTATCTAAACTTGGGTTACACAAGTGCTTTAATTTGAATGATTAAAAAAACTGAAAGATTGTACGAATAATCGAGAGATTAGTTAATTGTTTCAAAATTAAATGGTTAAGTTTTTTATGATATACCATTAACCGATTTCACTAACCATATGTAATTCTATTATTGATATACATTTTGGATTTTGATCGAGTTATTTTTAGATTTCTTAGGTTTGAAAAAATATATTCAGTTTTTGTATCGATTTTATTTCTCTTTTAATTTTATTTATCTTCGGTTTTATTAAAATATCGTGATTTAAAGTATCTTATATTTCGCTCTATTTTTCAATTTTTTTTATATTATATTATCATTTAATTAATTTGACATAAATTTTTTTTTGTCTAATTTCTAATTGATTTCAGATTTGATTTGATTCGAATGATATTATCATTTTAATATTTTTGTACGATTTGATTTAATATTATATAATCGAACTTAAATAAAGAACTCAAATTATCTAACTAATATAATATGATTAAATTGTGAGTTTGTTTTTACAGTCTTTTATAATAGAATGTTTTTATAATGAATTTTTTTAAAAAAGAAAATAATATTAAATCTTACTTTTCAAGCTTTATAAATACGAGTACGTATGGCTGATTCTAATGAGGAAAATACAGAATTATATATACTTTATTTAGCACAAAGAATTTGAATGTATTTGATATGTATTATCTTGCATGACATAAGTCCAAATTGCCAATGTTTTTAGGTCTTCTTTCTCTTTGCCCAACGGATTCAGAACGAATTTAAATAATAATAATAATAATAATAATAATAATAATAATAATAATAATAATAATAATAATTTTAATAATAATAATAACAATAATAAAATTAAGAATCTAAAACATTGAGCTGAGGCCCTTGATGAAAAAAAAACAGGAAAAAGCAACCTATCTATTTTCGGTAAAATAAAAAAGACAATGATTTGAATTTTTTTTTGTGGTAAATACAATGATTTGAATTTTGGTATATATGTCTGGTTATCTCACTCTTTAAAAATTATACACATTCAATCTTTGTTACGCTTTTTACTTATATTCAAATTTTATAAAAATACATGTATTTTGTTAAAAGTTTCTACTCATTAGATTTTTCCATTATCTTATATTCGAGTTGAATCTAGTTAATTAAATTTTATAAAAATTAATACCCACTAGTTTCAAAATCAAAATTAATTACTTGGTTCAGTTTTTTTTAGTGACCAAATTGTCACTTACAAGATTTATGGTAATCTTTTTTGTTACAATAAAGCTTATTGCACTGTCAAAAACAGAGAGACAGAGAGTCAGATTCTGTAATGAATCAAGATGATGGTCAAAACTGTAATAAGACAAGACTCTTTAAGTACGTTGACTTTACATTGGACTTGGGTTCTTGGGTTTGTGGTCAACTTATTTACACGTTCCACTTGGTAACTCATGAGCATCTTTTTTTTTTTGTGAAAGAATATTTTTTTTCTTCTAAGTTTTGCCACTTCTGAATACTGAATACTATACGTAAATATTCAAGCATCATACTAAAAAACGAACTAGGAATTTTTTGAACAATTATTCTTAACACAACTAATCTAATAACACAATTTGTTATTTTATTTTCATCAAATTCATTATGATAGCGAGATGAAAAATAAATAACGGGCAAAAACGAAATATTTTGTCAAGAGTGACGGTATATATATATATATATATATATATAGTTACGGGTCAAACTATTGTCTCGAAGATGGTTTTAGAACAATAAATCATCGCCAAATTTCCTTAGTGGTATGATGCCACACTTTGGAAAATAATAATAGAAAACAACACTTTCCGTACATTTGCATTTATTTTTATTGTATACCTCTAATTGAACCCACCTCCTAATGTTTGGGTACTGTAATGATCATTTTTCAGCAATGGTAGATATTTATTTTCTAATGTATGATAATTTTTATGGTATGTCAAATATTCGAATTCTGATTTTTATTTTGTATGGATTAAAAATTGATTATTGGATCAAAATGGCAAAATACTATTGGTTATTAATATTCAATCTCTAATTTATCTAGACTTTGAGTGCATTAAGATGTATACCGTTTAATTAAAAAATTCAACGCATTTGAAAATAAATTATCATTGCTTTTTTGTTTTTTTTCCTCAACTTGTCTGAAATATAAGTTGGTTATTTACAGATAACGAGAAAAATCAGTCTAATCATAATTAATAATATGAAATTTAGTACAGGAAATTTACCACATGCTTTTTTTATTTGTTTATTGGGGTCTAGTAGGGCTGGGCGTTTCGGTTCGGTTCTTCGGAACCGGACCGAACCGAACCGTTAAAACGGTATTTTTTTCGACCCGAAACCGTTGTTATTTCCCGAACGGTACCATTTTTAGAGAACCGAATTTTCCCGGAACCGAACCGAACCGAACCGAACTTTAAAAATCCCGAAAAACCGAATATTTTTAAAGGAAATCTAACATTTTTTTTAATAAAACCCGGAACCGAACCGAACCGATACCGAAACCGAACCGAACGGAATACAATAAAAAACCCGATTGGTACCTATTTTTGTAAAACCGAAAGAACCGAACCGATCTATTCTGTCCCGAACCCGAATCGTTTCCCGAAACGCCGACTCCTAGGGTCTAGTATCAATCACTTTTATACTAAAGATGTAATTTTCTACAACAATATGCTGAAAAAATTAAATAAATATGAAATTGGAATAAAATGTATTAATGCCATAATGAATGCCCACGTTTCATCCCCTCATTTTTTGGTGAACTCTCACGTGGTTGCGTAATATTTTCTCAATATATATACCTACATATATATACATATACATACACATACATATGGATACATATACATACATACATACATACATATGGATACATATACATACATATATATATATATTGCACAGACTCTGATCCCAAAGGGTCCGATATTTTCGAGCAAAGCAAACTTTGGCGTCGAGAAACAGCCGCACATTGTTTTCATACAATTTTTTTTTTCCTTTGAAAATTGTGTGAATAAAAAGTATTTCGTCAAATTCAAGCTAACACATCTGCTTAGGCTTCGCCTAAATTTTGTTGAATTCCTTGCAACCGACGCTCTAACATGATCCATTAGTCATCTTCAAGATCCTGAGTTCGATTTTATAGATAAAGATGGATGTAATTTTTAGACAAAAATAGTCCATATATAAAGGTTGGTTCCGGACCTAGGGTGGATGTAATCGGGCCTTCGGCCCGAGGAACTATCCTGCTTATAAAAAACAAAAAAACATACCCCCACTTTTTTAATTTAATTTTGATTTAAAAAATACTAATATTTTTCTCATGAAAAAACTCTTACCTAAATTATGTTTGTATGGCCTAAGAGAATATTTATAGGGCGGTTTTAAGAAAATCTAATGGATAAATAATTGAGAGATGTGGCTTAAGCAGGTTTAAGGTTATAAATCGTTCATGATTTTTGTTTCCTATCATATGGTATATATATATCTAATTTGAGATTTTCAAATCTATGATTTATAAATTCGAGGATTAATGGTAGAACTAATCTTAGTATTCATAGTATTAGTATATACAGTGCGAACCGTCCTTCAAATAAACCATTAAATCAAATTAACCCTATGATTTATAAATCCGAGATATACATAATGGTTTCAAACTGGTTTAGGGAAATAATGAATATGTTAGATAAAATTAATAAAAAATAAAAGAAATAAATTTATGAATGTGTTTTGAAATCCGTAGAAATACAATGATCATATCAAGACGTCTAATATTTTTTTTTTGGAAAATTTTATATAAAATTTTTTAAATGTGTCAAATAAATAAATTTTAAGCTTTTAATTTAATCTAATTGATCTCAAATATTAAAATGTTCCAAATAAATATTTTATTTACGAAATTCAGATATATAAAATCGAAATTTTACATTGAGAAGAAAAGGAAAAATAAAATTGGATGATTTCTGATTAAAAAATGACCACCATATTTACAATGTTGGGTCTCAATTTGTATCGAAATAGGGAGTGAAATTACCACGAATCCCCTGTAACAAATACTTTATTTTACCGTCATTTATTACTATAACAATCCCTGCGCATCTTCCATCCGGATAACATTAACCATGCAGTAAAAGTAGACAGAACATTATAGTAAACCACATCAAGAGAGTTCCGACCCTGGGGCCCAAATTTCATCTTCTTCATTCTCTGAGAAGCCCTAATTTCATCAGAGCTTCACGAACATCGGATTCTGCATAATCCTTAGGCGCGTGAACGACGTTGCTGCTGTCGAAGGAGATTACGTCGGAGAGAGGGTAACTCCGGTTACCGTGCAAGGCGTTGCTTGCTCCGCAAGAAACACCGTTCAGCACGACGCTTTTGTGCAGCCCTCCGAGTAATCCTTCATAGTCCGTGTCCCCCGACTCGCCCACGAATACGACCATATTCGCCAAGTCGATGCCCCACCTCACGTATAGATACCTGATCATCGCCGCACAGAGATGTTTATCTAGTTGTTACGATTCTACATCTTGGACTTTCGGGAAAGTGTACATTACCTTAGGGCTTGAGAGCGAGAGGCGAGCACCGGAATAACGTTCATTCGGGTCCCGTTTTGGCAATAAACGACGTGGCAACGCAACGCCTGGATCCTCAGTACCTTCCGAAGCTCCCTCACCGGAGGTACCTGAGGAGAGAATCGGGTAAACGTTCTCAGAAACGAGAAGATGGGGGTAGAGAAGGCGAGTGTGACAGGGGTTTGACTCGGGTGTAGAGAAACGAGATTTTACCACTGCAGGTTTCTTGACGGAAAACGTGTAGCAGTAGTCGGTTGAGAGCTGTTCGGCCGGAGTGACTATCTGCTCGTTGCTTTCTGACTTTTTATCGGTAACGGAACCTGCCCAACGGATAAGAGTCTTCCTCAATCCCTCTCCGCCCCAACGGTATTCTATATGCGAGTGGTAGTAGAAGTCGACGACGAAAGGGCCGTCTTCGGGATTTAGGGATGGATAGTAGAGATCGCTCCCGCTGTTGCAAATGAAAGCGTCGAAATCATTAGGGTTGAAGCTTCCTGAGGCCAAGAAAGAATGGATCTCGGAAATCGTCAGTGATGTCGACAATATGAAACCAACCGATCCTTCGGCCCTCTCTTTCTCCATCGACTCGAGGATCTTTCTCGTGGGTTCGAGCATATCTTTCCGATCGTCAAAATCCACAGCGATAACGACGATGAATTTCCTTCTCCTCAGTGCAGGGAACTTTCCGGAGTTCTGCTCTGCTTTCTCTACCGATCCAATTTTTCTGTTATCTTTCGAGATACCTTTCGACCAATTCAAGATGGAATTCTCGATTTTGCTCCTCCTTTCGACGGAATTCCAATCCGATTCCAAGGAATTATCGTTCCCACCAGTTCCGCCCTTCTCTCCATCAAGTGAAAACCTCAAGTTCAAGGATATATCTTGTATATCCCTCAAAGAATCATTAGGTGACTCGGGTTCCGAATTATCGCCTCCATCGTCGCTTCTTTGCCACTGCGGATGTCTCGGTTTGAAAGTGGCGATACGAGAGAGATAAGTCCGGCAATGCTCCAGCCATGAAAACAGATGAATATTCTTCAACCCGTTCTGCCGACACCTCGCCCAGAGGTGCTTATCCGCCACGAGTTTAAGAAGAGCATTGGCAATAGATTGCTGATCATGAGGATCCACGAGAAGACCATTGTCTAGTACCTAAATGCAAAGTTTCCAGAATGTATCAGAGACCCGAGACGAGGAATATAATCGTCTCATAAATTTTGAACCGGAATCGTAAGACATACCCGATGAATATCTACCGGACCACCGTTTTTGGTAGCGACGATAGGCAAACCATGAGCTGCAGCCTACTCAACAAAAGAAATGTGATTGTAAATGTAAGGCGCATTACTTTCACTAATGAGCCACAAGATTTTTCCATAATTATCATAGCGTGTACCTCTATCAGAGTAAGCCCGAAAGGTTCAATGAAAGCTGGATTGATAAAAACACCCTGCAGAGAATCCAAATCACGACGAGAAAATTCCAAAGGGGTGTAAGATTGAAAAGGCTTCGAAATCTAATACTTGGAATTATAATCTACTTAATGAATAAAAGAAAAGAAAATAATCAAAATTAAAAGTGCCGGGTTTTCTCTGAATTCCAGAAGATAATCTTAAATGAGAGTACCTTGGTCTTCGCGGCTAGACGATATATGTCGGGAACATCTGACTGTTTGTGATGTTTGGGATATGCAACTTGCCCATACAGATCATATTTGTCAATTAGCTTCAGTACAGAGAGAAGAACCGAAGAATTCGTGCTTGACATTTCGTCAATCCCATCTCGGTTACCCATAATAAGTGTCTGCAAACCGAGAAATAAGGACGGCAAAGGGGAACTATTGTCACGGGAAAGAAACGCTACCCAAAACCGAAAGTTGAAAAACAATTTCATTACCAAACGATTTCCTTGTTCTCAAACAACGATACTTACAAGGTTAGCAAGCTCTCTCAGAGGACGGCATTCTCCAAATGCCTTCACCAATGTGGTAATATTCTTTTTTGGATCCGGTCTGGCAAGTGCAAGTATCATAGGCTTTCGGGGATTGGTAAAGAAACGCATTATCTGCATTGCATACAGAATTCGGATATCCAAGCATTATATTATAGATATCAGCTCATAACCCGTGCCACGAATATCCAAGCATGACGATGATGCAGATAAGAAAAGAAATTATTTTTGAGAAAGGAATAGAACCTCGGCCCATATTGGAGGATCCGGAGAAGCTGGATGCTCATCGTTACCATCCGCTTCTTCCATATCGCCATCGTGTGGAACAATATGATGGAATTCCATCCCGGGTGGAATTATCTGAAACAAAGGAAACCAATTAACAATCAATTACATGATAAGTAACAGATGAGTAAGGCACATTCCATAAGCATTTTTATCAAGGGTAGAGCACAAGAGGCGGGCATGAAAGATATGTGTGTTTAGGTTACTTACAACCATGCGAGGCATGAATCTACCATAACAGCTCACATTCCGTTTGATCCTTGCTCGTAGTTTACGCTCCAATATCGGGTCAAAGCCATCATACAATCTCCATTGCTCATCTATCTCCTGCCGAGTGCTAGTTATTACTATCTCAGAAGCATCGAGAGATAATTCCTCACCCTCTATGCGACGCATAATCTTGTACGTCGAATTGATTTCATCTTTTGAAAGGCGGCCTTGTTTCAAAAGCTGCTCCAACTTGTCTCGGCCAAGCGAGTGGCCAGTAAAAAGCATCGGCACATTTAGTGCACCCGACAACAAAGCAGTAGCATCACCAGCATCAGCATAATGCCCGTGGATTGCAGCCGGCCAGACGGGTTTTCCGCCATCAATTTGCTCGCCCAGAACATTTGACATCTGGATAATGTGGTTTAGAGCACCATCAACAAATTCGGGGATGTGAGGCCATAGAAGTTCTTTCGGGATATATTTATCCTTTGGACCAAACGGGATCCTCACGATATAAGCACCACTGCTTTCCCCCATCTCATCAAAGAGATCTTCAGAACTTCTAGGTGTCAACATCTCGGTGGGTTCACCGTAACTCCAGTCAACATCCGGTGAAGACACCTGCCTCGTGAGCAAATCAACCCGATAAACTCCCGGCATTGACCCCAAAGCCCGTGCAAGCTCCACTACATACTTAACCTGCAAAGTAAAAGAAGTGTGGAGATTAGCCATCAGAATCACAAAAAGTCGCCCAAATTTGGGGAAGTACCTGACATCAGGTACAAGAAACCTCCTTTGATCAAGTATAAATTACCTGGCCACCAGTATCAGAGTCTCGGCCCAGTTCCATGTTTTCACCACGAATGAGGCCATGAAGACTGCATGGATACTCAGAGTTAAAACACGATCATGGATAGATAATGTGCATGCATTTCATAAATTCCCTTGCAAATCCACAATTTGCTGAACCCATAAATAGATTTCTACTCAGGAATCAGGATGCCAAATCTGGCGTACAGGCATGAGACTAAATGAAATTAAATGTTAACAGATGCAAAAATATGTACAAGAAACAGAGAACTCTTGACCACAGAAGACCAGAGTGGAGGACATACCTTATCAGAACAAGATACAGCTTCTTTCCCTTCTGCTGGTTTGCCCAAGTCTCCATGGATTCAACAGAACTTATTCTCGGTAACCTACTTTTGGTGCTTTCACCGTGAGCTGATGCATCACCAGCCGTAGCCGATATATCACTGACCATATCTCCTTTCTCTCCTTCCGATAACTCCTCAGACATATCAGCAGTTGCTTCCCTTCGACCTTTTTCACGTTCAAGCCGGCGTTTCGCCAGCCTCTGTGCTTCCTTTTCCTCATGCTGCACAGACAAAAGAACAAGCAGACGGGACCTTGAGCCATCATCCTGCTTTCAGTTCATCGATTGATTGACTCGAAAAGAATTATAAGAGAAAAGTACTTAGGACCGTGTTTCCATACGAATGAACTCCTTCATCATTCTTCAATACTAACTCAGAAACCGATAGTCACGGGTTACAAATCACGCATTACAACCGTCGTCAACTACTACTACCTCCTGGTGTTCCAGATTTCTGATAAGCTTGGATATTCCATTCCAGATCCGATCAAGATCGATTTTTCACATGGATCAAACTCAAGAACGGATTTCATATTCCTTGTTTTCCTTCTTCATCTATTTTTTCTCTTTTTTAAAGGAGACTTCTAAAAGCACATTTTCTAAAGGTCCAAATTGGAGAAGAACCCATCAAAAGCTTTTGACTAATCAGTCAACCTTAAACTAAAGGCAAGTCCCCATCGAGATGACGCAGGAATATTTTTATGAGATTCAAAGTCTTATCCCTCGAAACCAGTTTTCGGCTCTCAGAACCCCAATCAACCACGAGAATGCAAATCGAAAGCAAGAGCATATCATTATACAAATAGAAACCCAAATGGATTCTCAAGCGAAAATTTCTAGGAATCCAAACATCAAAGCAAGGTCAACAAGGGAAGAGAGGAAATTCCGAGAAAAAAAAAAGGAGACCTGCTTTTTCTGACGAGCGAGATTCCAGATCCTCCAACACATATTCTCCAATCTGGTGTTCCTCTCCTGAGGACTTCTGGTGGCGACAGCCTGAGAAACTCAGAACAACACAACATCACTAGCACGTCAAACACACACATACATACATACATATACACGCATCTATACATACGTACATACATACCTTGACCCATGATCTGTGAAGATCAGTTTCGTCGAACCCAGTGATGACTTCCTCGACGAAGTAGCGACTGGGAGTGAATCGGCCTCTCTCCCGAAGAAGAAGTGAGGAGCGAGCGTCGTCGAGACCAGGTCCCACGTCCAGAATCGCCTCCAAGTAGCTGTTGATCCAATCGTTTCCTGCCATCAGCGACGATCGCCAGGTATGACGACGGTGATCGGTGGTCTTCCGGTAGCTTTATGAGTGGAAGAGATTGAAAATGGAATCGGATTGAGAGCTTCGATTACTCCTTGGTTATGGTAAATTTGTTCGCTTTGCTAAGATTTTTGGATAACGACAGGCTCGGCCTCTGCGTTGCGTCTCAGTGAGAGAGAGAGAAGAAGATGAGAGACACGTATCCGTCTCATGCGCGTTTAGAAAGAAAAAAAATCGCATTTTAAGCACAATATTTCTTTTTATTTTTCATTCCCTTTTTAATATTTTTTTTTGTGATTTTTAAGTTTAATTTTAATGCTGCTTTTGGGCAATGAAATTGTGACTCAAATCACGAGTCTGGCATATTTTTTTTTTTTTGAACCAATGGATTTGAATTTTATTTCATTTAAATTGATTGAAAATGTCTTTATTAAAATTAAAATAAATATATAGTTTGATTCAATAAGGATTTTGTTGTAATTATTGATCCAATCTGTAATTTTTGTCATAAAGGGTTTGGATATTTTCAGATAATTTTGTCTTTTTTTGTCTGTGTTTATTGTGATTTTTTAATGTTTTATACTCTGTTTTGTAGGTAAATTATTTCTTTGATGAAATAAGATAAAAAAAAAAGAAAGGATTTAGCAGGAGAATAAATCGTTTGAGATCATTTCCTCATTTATTTATAATTTTACAAAGTTTTGTGCAATTATTTTGTTTTTTTTTCCTATCATATCCCCAAAAAAGAAGAATTTAAAAAAGAAAACAATGAAGGTAAATGTCTATTGTGGTGGTGGTGCGTCGTTTCGTTTGGAGAAATTCTCATTTATTTATATTATTTTTTCTTAAATTAATTATTTGCAACAATACTGTAAATAGTAGAAACTCTTTATTTTACTTATAATGGTAATCCTACTATTTAAAGATATATGTAGCATATTTTATTTTTACTTTTACTGTCTATAAACATTTTCTCATTATTATAAGTTTGATTTGATAACATATTCACAAAATTGAAATGTTTAAATATTGGGCAGAGAAATTCTAGATATCAATATCATAAATTATTCTTAGATAGAATAATATCTATATACATATATATATATACACAGTTTATCAGAAAAGAATAAAATGGAATATTCTAAATAAATCCATGTGGACAGCTTTTAAATAAAATTTTTAATATTTTCAAAAACAAAAAATAAGAGAAGAGAGACCAAACAAAAGTAGGGAAGAAGAGCAAGAGACAAAGGTTGGCTGAAAAGAGAAACAAAAGCTCTTATTAGTATAGTTTGGAAACATTCAATAATGGTACTAAAACCTAATCATTAATAATGCCCACTAAATTTTTCGAATTTTCATGTTTTTAATATATATTACATATGAATAATTGAAGGGAGAAAAAAAGTTGTGAATAATTGAATAATGGTTGATTGGCATGTTTGGTGGGTATCATTTATATATTATCGGAATTGAATATTATAGTTAAAATATCCGATTTTTCGAGTTGTATAGGATAATTTTGATCATATATAATTTGTCACAACAGTCGTTAGAGAATAATGATCGATTATATAATATTTACTTCTTTTCCATTTCCACTCTTTTATTTGTATAATTATACCGTATTTAATTTTAATGACAAATTAAAGTGTCGTTTGTGACGTTAGGTACCGCAAATATCTAATCAAACTACAAAAGTATATTTGGATTTGTTTAAAAGATACAAAATTATAACTGTTTATGTCTCTATTTCCATTTTGTTTTTTTTCCTTGATATATATGCGAATATTCGGTATAATCAAGAAACCTAGTAACAAAATAATCCAAACAATTTCGCAATTGAATGTTGTATAAATCTTAAAGAATTCAATAACTTTTAAAGAATTCACCCTTGTAAACATCTGCAAAAAGCCAAGACTGAATTCAATGTGAATGCTGTATAAATTCAGACAAAAATGTTGTATGAGAGAGTCTATGAAATCTCATAACCATGCTACTACAGCAATATGGTTAGAGGAACCTGAAAATGCAACATTTCTCAGCAACTAATGGTTCAGACAAAGAAACAAAAACCCTAGGCAGCACCCTTGCCCTTCTTCTTCTGAATCTTCTTCATGTAAAACTCCAACTCTTTACCCTCCAAAATATATCTACACAAAACCACACATTGCGTCAGAGAATTTGGGGATCAAACAAAGAAATGGCCGATAAGATCGCGGAGAGATGAGATTCGAGAGATGTACCCATCAGCACGACCACACTGGCCCGGCCTTGATGAGATACAAGCCAGCAAACGACCAGTTGAGAACTGGTCATCGATGTGGGAGTCGAGAGCTCGGTTCTGTTGACGTTTCTCGAGCTTCCTCAGGACATGGTTGCTCTTCTTTGTCTCCTCGGGGGCTGCAGCTTTCTCGGCACCATCTTCACCTTCCTACGGTAGTACCAAAGAGAATATCCGGCAAATAAAATTACAGAAACCATCAATAAACAGAAAAGCTGTAAAGCTAATTTACCACATTCTGATCCCTCTGGTCACCAAATCAAGATAACTTTCTACGTAATTGAATCTTGAGACTTACTAACCATACATTAGATAGGGTAAGTGAAACAGTGCCATAATAAAATATGAAAGTGGAAGGAACCAATTCATGATTATAAGAATTGGTCTCAATTTAGCACAGCTTGATTCCTCTGGTCACCAAAATCAAGGAAATTTTATTCCTAAATCTTACACAGATGATCATAATTGAATCTTAATAGACTACTAACCATACATTTAGATACAGGGAGTGAAACAGTGTGGAACTAAAACGCCAAAGTGAAGGGATTGATCAATTCATGACAGAAGAATCAGTCTTACCTCTTCTTTCTTGCCTGAAGAAGCTGATGCCTTCTTCTTGCGGCCAACCTCAACACCATAGTGGGAGAGGTACCATTGCTTGAAGGGTGCGGCATCGATTTGAACTATAGCACTCTTAACCAATGTTTTGGTGCGGACAAGCTCGTTATTTGATGCATTATACACCACATCGAGGATTCTACTCTTGCGGGTGGCAGCCTCACTACCCCACGAGAAATTTCCCGTGTCGAGTCTCAAAGCTCGCCATTTAATGTTTCCTCCTCTAACCCTAAGCCTCCTGACTGTTTTGTTGCTTGAAAGCTTAGTGTTTGCGGCAACTCTTCCCAACTCGTACCTTTATGAGATCCATAAATAAATTTTAGCACTAATGCTTTGCAACAGAAACCAACGACATCACAACTCGCAATTAACACCAAACTGAAATACCCATAAAGGCAGTTAGAGTGATAGATGATGACATAAGATAAGAACAGAGGTATCAATCAAATTTCATCCATCACCCGCATAAAACAATTAGAAAAAAAATGCTACAGATTCTACAGATACTTAAAATCAAACATCAATCAGTGTGGGGCTTTCCGAAGATAATGTTAAGACATTTTCGATGGAGGGAACACATTGAATAATGGGATTTCCAGTAAAATCAATGATATAATCCTTACAACGGATGATAAGGAAATATTTTCCAAGTCCTAGAACATATGATTTTACGACTCTAAACATGCAAACCTAGAAGTATACAAGAACAAAGAGCCCGAAAAACGAGAAATAGATGTGAAAAAAGAAAAGAAAAAAAAACTCACTTTCGCTTCTTCCTCCATTGCTTCTGCTTGCCACCAGTTGCACGCCTCTTGTGGATGGAATCACGAGAAATACCTAAAACAAAATCAGATTATCGATTCAGATGTCACCGAGATACGAAGGATTTGACGAAATAACTCCGAAGAAACAAAGAAGCGGAAGAAACTTTCGATAGATACGCACCCATCGCGGCGACGGAAAAATCCTATGGCCTCTTTCTCCTCCAGACGTCTAGATCAGTTTCCGAAACCTAGCAAATATATACGGGTGAGCTTTTTCTAAAACCCTAGCAGCTTCTAATGAAATTACTGAATTACCCTTAATAATTGGGCTCGTGGTAAAGTTTAGGCCCATGGACTTCTCCCTCGCAACTCGGGCCGCGATTAAAAACAACCATTACTTCACAAATCACCCGATTATCCAAAATACGAACTTCATCCAAACCATTAGACCGATAGACGGATTAAAAATTTAAAACCCAGATCACAAAATTTGCTTTCCGAATTCAGTCCAAAACCCGCTGCTCTTCGTGATCAAAGTCTTCGTGATCGAGGAACGAATCTTTGGTTAAGGTTCGGTTTAATAGTAAAGGACACGAGTTGAAAGTTGGTTAACAAAAACCGGAATGAATTTCAGATAACCAAACTGTTAAGAAAATGTGAGCCTCGTAAGGTCAGTCTCCTCACACCTGCTGCAACTGCAAAGACGCTCAGCAATGGCGTCGCTTCTCGCGATGGGATCTTCTCTCTCTCATTATCGTCCTTTATTTTCGAGAACCCAGCATCTCAGACGCATCTCTTGCTCTACGGATTCCGGAAATTCAGAAATTGCTCGTAAGGTACGTACGATTTCCATGGCTGCTTTGCTTCGGTTCCGGTTGGTCTTTCACCACTTGATGTTCTTGGTAAATTCTTGCTTTTTCACACGAAATTTTAGTGTTGGGTTCCATTAACATGGCGATTATGCCGGTTTTATACTTCACTTTATAGTTTATATGCATGTTCCAGTTTGTGTTTTAGTCTGATTTGGGTTTGAAGGCCTAATATAATGGGTTTCTACTTGATAAGTAGTTTGCATTTAAATTTTTTGATAATGATTGTTATCTGGGAAGAAGTTCTGATGTTTCATATCTTTGGTTTTGTTCGAATCTTATGAAGTGATGGCTAAATGTTCACCGGTGATTTGGTGTTTTCTGGCCTTGAAATGCTTAAACTTGACATGGGTTTTTCATCAGATTCTCGAAGTTAGGGGTAGTAGCCTAATATGAGGAATTCACGGTTCTTCATTCTTCTGATCATAAACTGAGTGCATGGATATCGTATGAATAGTCAAATTCAATGTTCTTATCCGTTAACTTGGTTGTTGGTTGTGAATCTGGTGCGCTTAGGACAGTTAATCCAGAAGAGGAAGCTGACGGGAGATTTCTCTAGAGAGTCTAAACTCGTAAATTATGCTCCATTAGTTGAAAGCTTAAGTCGAAGAAGAATGCCTGATGTTGCTCATGAGCTTTTTCTCGAGATGAAATCGGAGGATTTACTGCCAGACTACCCAACCCTATCGACTCTAATGCTTTGCTTCGCAGAAAACGGGCTTGTTTCTCAAGCACGTGCTGTTTGGGAAGAAATTTTGAACAGCTCCTTTGTGCCCGATGCTCTGGTAATATCAAGGCTGATGGATGCTTATAAAAAGATTGGGTGTTTTGATGAAGTAACCAAAATCACGAGGGAAGTAGGTAGAAGGCATCCTAATCTGCTTCCCAAAATATACCCACTTGCTATATCGTGTTTTGGAAAGGTTGGTCAGTTGCAATTGATGGAAAGCGTAATAAAGGAGATGACATTGAAAGGAATCCCCATAGATTCAGCAACTAGAAATGCAGTTGTCAGATACCATAGCCTTTTTGGTACTTTGGAACAGATGGAATTTGCTTATGGGCAGCTCAAGAAGCGTAGGATTCAGATAGAGGAAGAAGAGATAAGAGCTGTGGTGTTTGCATACTTAAAACAGAGAAAATTCTATCGGCTACGTGAATTTCTAACTGACGTTGGCCTTGGTAGGATGAACATTGGAAATCTCTTGTGGAATTCTGTATTGTTATCTTATGCAGCTGATTTTAAGATGAAAAGCTTGCAGAGAGAATTCCTTAGAATGAGGGATATGGGTTTCTCTCCTGATCTTACCACCTTTAATATTCGGGCCCTTGCTTTTTCTAGAATGACCCTTTTTTGGGATCTCCATCTTACTCTTGAACATATGAGACATTTGAACATTGTTCCAGATCTTGTGACTTTCGGGTGTGTGGTTGATGCATATGTGAACAGAAGGCTTGCAAGAAACTTGGAATTCACATACAAAAGGATGAACCTGGATGATTCTCCTGTAGTCATAACTGATCCATTTGTATTCGAGGTTCTGGGGAAAGGAGATTTCCATCTGAGTTCGGAGGCAGTTTTGGAGTACCGTCCTAGGGAGAATTGGACTTACAGAAAGCTGATTGGGATTTATCTCAAGAAAAAATTGCGAAGAGACCAGATCTTTTGGAATTACTGATCAGCTGTAAGCACTTTATGATGCAAAGAAGATCACATTCGTTATCACAATTTCCATGGTAAGCACCTTTAATACTTCGAAAAATCGAGGTTAAAAATCACTCCTCGATTACATTTACGCACATTCATACGCATGTAGATGCAAATGTATTACGCGTACATATCTTTATATCTTCATTGCTGCTGGTTGGTTATCTTGGATTTGTCTTCAGATTTTTCAGCAAAAACCAATTGGTTAGCTATTTCGGGTGTATCTTGACTAACTTGGTTATTCTTTCTTGCATCATTTCTCCATATGCAGTTTATAATAGTTGTTGAATATTAATAGCATTCTTTTAAATGGCATTGAGTTATTTTTGTCCGTGCATGTCTCAGAATCACACTTATTGGAAACAGCTCTATATTTAGCAAGAAATGGTTCTCCATCCCAAAGTGGAATTTGCTGTTCTTTTTCTCTATGCTTTTTTTAAGTCTTGATAAGGCCTCATGTTGGCTCTATCTATGCGGATTCTTGTGTGTACCCTTGAGAATGCATTCCATTAGCTGTTTCCTCAATTCTTTCTTAGGTCATTTACAGCTTCTATTCCCTTTTTGTAAAAGTTTTTAATGAAATATGGGGCATAATCTGATATGCCCTGTGTAAATACAGAATGACATTGTAGCTATACCGGGCTTAAATAAGTAGGAAATGCTTCCCCCTCCGGATTCTTGTTCTTTTGAATCATTGATGCTTGGACTTTAGCTACCGACCCTTTTCTATTCTTTTGAACTTTATAGTCTGGTAACAGAATCATAAACAGCGATACCATCGGATCTGAGGGTAAAGTATGGAGAGGAATGAAATACAGGAAGGAACAATGGCTGTGGCTATCGATAGAGAAAAATCAAGCCATCAGGCTCTCAAATGGGCTGTCGAGCATTATATACCCCGGAGCAGGTCCGTAAAACTCGTTCACGTCATCCAGAGGTCACCACTTACCACCAATGGACCGTCCCTCGATGATGAATTGCCCGATAGAAAAAACAATGGCAGAAGGAGCTCTCAGATGTTTCTTGCATTACGCTGCCTTTGTATGCGCAGAAATGTAAGTCTCGAGATTGGGATTTTTGACGGGTTTTTTTTCTGGTTCAAGGATTCTGTGATAAGGTCTTTGATGGTATCATGATTGCACTTAAAGAATGGATTACATTCTCTACCTTTGTTCATGCCTTTCTTTCTCTCTAATCTTTCCTTGTTTCTTCTCTTGGTATCAGATACAAAGCGAAATAGTGTTATTGGAAGACCAAGATGTGGCAAAAGCGTTGATTGAATATATCACTCAGAATAGCATTGGTACATTTTTGCTAGGTGCCACGGTGAAGAAAAGCATTACCAGGTCAAAAACTTTTTATCTGAAATTGGTTTTTCTTTTATACACCTTCGTTTATTTTGGCTCCCGAGCCATGGATGGTGTTGTTGCTTATGCATTTCCCATTCTTTGGCTCTTTGGAGTTAACCAAGGATACTGTATTGAATTTCTTGTACCTTTTAAAATGATTCTGATCTGATTTAAAAGGCTATTCAAGGGAGAGGACATTCCCAGTAATGTGATGAGATGGGCACCGGATTATTGCACTGTTCTTGTTGTATCGAAGGGAAAGTTAGCGAGTGTACGGTCTGCAACCCGTCCTCTACCTCAAGCTTTGATGTCATCCTCTACGGGAAACACACCACTGTCACCACGTTCCACCGCCATTGATGAGGCACCTTCTGTGATGTAAGCTTGCTACCTGCAAATTTCTTTTAGCATCTATGGCATCTTTGTTTTCAAGATAGATTCGATTTTTTGGACATGAATGAATCGGTTCTCGTGGAATTTGAATAAACAGGTCGTTGTCTAGAGATGAAGATGTTTTGTTCGAGGAGCTTTCAACTTTTGAGCCTGATACCCCCGCTGTCGCCAGGATAAGCACGGACAATTCGCTCTTATCCTTCTATGAGAACCTAGGCTCCCGAAACTTGTCGGAGATTTCTAAGGTCTCGAGTATGGATTGGAAGCTTTGCGAGAAATCCAAGTTGTCGGTCGATCTTTCGAGTTCTCGTGGTTTGCCATGCATCTCAGAATGGGCTCCAGAAACAAATACATCGGTGGGAAATACGGTAACTAGTTACTACTCTGTCAATATCAATTAAGTGATTTCATTTTCATTGGCCAATAGATGTTCGGAGGTGTAGCTCGGAGAAGTAGGATTCTCTATGTTGGTAAATACTAATTAGGGGTACTCATTTTGGGTTTCGGTTCGCGAGTTTGGTTATTTAGGTTATAGAAAAACTATAACCATTTTGGTTTTTATATCGAATTCGGTTAGGTCAGTTTTTCTGTTTTTTTTTGTATTCGCTTCGTGCTTGGATTATTCGTTTATTAACGTTCAGGAGGATAACAAGGTCGAGATGAGTTGGGTAAGGATAGAGCTGAAGCAGACTATGGAAATGTATCGCGCCGCATGCAGAGAGGCACTAGCGGCTAAACAGAAGGTAGCGGAGCTCGAGATATGGAAAAAGAGTGCCGAACAAAGGCTTCAAATGGCCGAAGAAACGACTTTGGCCATCGTGGAGATAGAGAGGTTGAAATGCAAGGCGGCGTTAGAGAAGGCGGAAACGGCTCAGAGGCTCGTAGAGCTCGAGGTAAAGAGACGGGTGGATGCCGAGAGGGTGGCGATGAGAGAGGCCGAGCAGAGGAAGATGGCTTTAGATGCTCTTGGCCAGTCTCGGGCCGTCGTTAAGCACGAGAGCTTACTCCATATCTTGATCGTTCTGTTTCTCTTGTATCTCTATTTCTCCATGTTCAAATGACTTGAAAACGACCGTCAAAACTGCATTGAGCTGTCGGGTTATTAGATGTAGTGGAAATATTCTTGCAATTCTGATACTTATTCGAAGGTCTCGTTTATCATAGTTTGATATTTGTGTTCGTACCCGAGGATTTCAGGCACTCTCGAATACCCGAGATCGGTAACTGTGGATATCCGAATCCAAAAATTATTTAAAATACAAATTTATAACATAAAAAAAAAGCATAAACCAGGATAAATTGTATCTGTTGGATGGATAATAAAAAAAAAACATCTTTATTTTTGGCAATAGATAATTAAAAAAAAAACAAGACACATGCCCTGAATCTGTGAAGACAAGGTGCTCGATTTCTATTCGCCGGGAGAAAACGTATGGGTCGTTTCTTGTCACGCAAGAAACGACTTCAAAACTTTACTCGTCGGTTATAAGCTTTCATAGGGTTCTGGAACTGGAACGTTGTAAGAGATTGCGATATTCCCCGAGTGCCCAGATCGGGAAAATGTTTCTGTAGGCTGAGTAACTAATCATGCAATTCCTGTTGAACACTCCCATGATTTCCTGAACATGAACACGACAAAAACAAACATAAACTGATCGTGATCCTGAAAGACAAAACCTGCTTCGAAACAACTGTTTTGTATGATTCTCCGCGTGTCACCTGTTGCGGGAAATCTCCGTCTTCCATCTGCGAATTTATCAGCAGTTTCGCCCCGCGGTGCAAAGGCGTCCAGTCTCTACTTGCCTGTACAGAAACGAGATCGGAGGTTATCATTAAACGCTAAACCCTAAACCGTTGTTTCACCCGAAAGGGCATGTATCTATACTTCCGAACTCACCTGTCCTGCCTCGATAAGCGCCAGCATCGCCCACGATGTGTTCACGAGATGCGGTCTGTTCCCGGGAAGATTCGTATACTCCTTTATACGCATACAACAGATTCATTATAATGTACATTATGCAGATGGATACTCGTTTTTTCGGGATTTATACTCGGAGTGGAACCTTGTTTTGGCATGAGAGGTAGCTCTCCCCCCATCCACCGGAACTAAGCTGCCTCGAGAGCAAGAAACGGCACGCCTTTCTTATACAATTGCTGGTTTCGTATACTTTGCCAGCAGCTAATAGAGCTTTTATCCCGAACCATGTCGCGTATGTGAAGCAAACTCCCCACGAGCCGTACCTTGAAACGTCGTACGATGAGTTCGAAGAAAATCGGTAAAAGATAACTTGCCATTATGTGCAGAGATCACTGACCATGACCCGTCAGGAAGTTGCGTTTTCTCGATGAACTCCACCGCCTTTCTGATGCATTTTTCTATCTCCATTTTCCGATACCCCGGAAAAAGTTTCGTGAATAACTCGAGGCCTTGGATTGCAGCGGACGTGCATTCTACATACCTGCGGGTTTCAGTCTCGGTGTCAATGAAAAGGAAGTTACTCGGAGCAAAATTTCCTCTGTAGTAGCCTTTTGTTCTTACTGGTAATCTATGATGATATCGCCGAAAGTTTCTGATGGATTAATAACCTGAAACCGAGATAGAAAACGAATCAGAACTCGAGTATCGTTCGTTCCTTGAAGACGGAATCAATTCGAAAAAGGAATAAAAGTTTACCTCTAACCAAGGATATGATCTAGTAAGCTCGTATGAGGCAAATCCTCCATTGCTGTTCTGAAATAGGTACAAGGAACAAAGCTTTTCAGCAATTGTGTATGATCACAAACTGCTGAATTCGGTTATACCTGTAATGACAAGATGAAGTTAACGGCATCGAAGAAATGTTCTTCGGCCATTGCTTCCCCGACGAGTTGTCTTGGCATTTTCCAGAGTAACAAAGCTGACTGCAGCAAGAAAATACCGTCTCACAATTTGCAGATTTCGGGTAACCTTCTCGGGAAAGTCTTGCCAAACTTCAGAAGAGATAAACATTGAACAAGGTGTTCGATATTTCTCCCCGAACATGAAGAACTACAGATCAAGATTTCACCTTCAAGGCTTCAGCAGTGCAGTCCGAGACGGGCCAAGGATTATCGGCGGTGGAGAATCCCCATCCTCCTTTGCACGGGTGACGGTACCACGCCGCGGGATTTCCATATGTGTTTTCCCTAATCTTTTTTTTTTCCAGATAACCGAATCCCTAGGGTCAGATACACTGATCAAGAGAACAACTGAATAAGCAAGAAGCCAGAGATAGTGATAAAGAGGGTTACTACTTGAGTGTTCTTGATGTACTCATTTGATTTCCTAAGCGTTGATCCGTATTCATCCACCAGATTCGTCGCCAATATTGCTTGGACCGCAAAGGCCACGTCCCAAAGCTGAGATCCGTTGTATCCCTGCCGTCGTTTTCACAAAAATTTACGTCAGAAATGATACTGAAATATGTAAATGAGATGAACAGATGAAAAAAGCTACCTGCATTTTCATGCCATCTTCAGCGATCCATAGATAGTCTTTAACCCGAGAGAGATGACGTTTAAACTCTTCGGAACTCGGGTCCTCGACCCAGCAACAAACCATATTCAGAACCTTAAATTCAACGCAAACCCGAGAACTCGTTAACGAAACTAGGGAGACGGATTCAGCGCAGAAACGTAAAACGAGACAGAGAATACCGGTCGAACCTTGCTCACGGGGCCGAGGCAGATATAACGAGTGTTGCGATCTTCGTAGCGGATATGATCCATCACTGTCTGAAGAGCCCTGTTCCGGAGCTTGGACAAGGGCCATCTCCCGAGAAGGGGTTCGGTTATGTTCTTCAGAGACCACCATAACATGTCCTGGATCATCGGATGCGGATAATACAAATCCTCCTGACAAAAAAAAAAAACACGACGGACCAAACGTTAAACTCGTGTTTTTTCATATATCCAATGATGATTCTGTCCGGAAAAAAAAAATCTTTCGTTCTGAGAGCACTGACTTTGGCACATAGGTTTCTTGCGATATCCCAATCGATATGGTGGTATGGGACGGTGTAGAGCTCTCGCCTGAGTGAAAGAACGACGCCGTTTACGCGGCACACGTATCTTTTGCCGTATAAATACGACATCGGAAGATATACCATCCTGCAATGGCACCACATTCGACCTACACACAAACATATATATATATATATATATACATGCATTCACCGTTGTGTTGATTCATCAATACTGATGATGGCCAACTTGGTTTATTAACGAATAATTGAATCAATCTGAACCGAATAACACATAACCGTAATCCAACTGTCTAGCATATAAAAACTGGATGATTATGACGTCTCTAAAATGGAAAAACTGAATTCGTACCGAACCAAACCGTGTAAAAAATGATCAAACTCGATTGTATGTTCATGCAATTACACATATAAAGGAAGAAGTCGAATTTGAACTGGAAACCGAACCCGAACCTGGATGAAAAGGAAGAAGATCCGGGAGGAGCCATAACTCTGGCGGTAAAGGATTGTTCCCACTCCATTCATACACTCCAAGAACCTGTTTTTTGTTTTTTTCACACTTGAAGTGATTCACCACTACAAAACCAAATCAACCTTCCTTTCACGTTCATATACGAATCCGTACGTACCGACAGCCATAACTTTCCCCACGACGGGACGTAGGTGGCGCCACCGTGGCCGTGGATCCAACGCCTGGACATTTCCATGGCTCCATCTCCACCGTCCATTTCTTCCCCCATCAATCTCAAGGCAACGTACGAAAGCACCGTACAGAACATTGTACTGTTTCCTTCTATGTGTAGGCCCCATCCTCCATCCTCGTTCTAACAATTAAACAAAACGTGGTTCTTGTCGGTTTTCCGCAATGTTTGGATTGAGGGTTGGAAAAAGTTGCAAACTTTAGTCGAGTATATGTGATTCTTTTTTAAAAGATTATTTGGATGTTGTTATATATAACCAACGGACCATATTATTTACATAAATATGTGATTATTTAAAAACCTGATGGTTATACAGATAACGTCGCATTTCCATCTGATGCTGCTGCGTTAGAGTTTTGTCCAAAGCTCCTGTCACATATAGTCCGATAATCTGCGACCGGATTATTACATTGTTAGGAGGAGAAACCATATTACATAAAAAAAATGTAAGAAACAAAGCATATATATATATATATGTATTATGTGCATATCTCCGATAAAACCAAATTGATCTTATCTATATTTTTTTTCCAAAAAAAATAATTATTTTCTTTGTAATCCGACAATAAATTTTTGTAGGCACGTTTATATTAATATATATATATATAGTATGATCATATGACGATGAATTATATGTAAATTATACAACGACAATGTTTTCATTTTAAGAACGAAAACTAGCTTATAGGTGTCCGTATTTTATTATAATTAGCGAATTAACCCCAACACTTTTACTCAAATCAATTAAGCCCAAGCTGACACAAACTTCTCAAACTGACAACTTGTAGAAATACCTGGAGTAAATCGTCAATAAAACCTCACACAAGTTGAATCGCGTTAATTTTACAGTCATTGCAAAAGTATGTGATATTTCAAGATTCGGATCAATTGGTGAAATGTGAGAGAGGGAGAGAGAGAGAGAGAGAGAGAGAGAGAGAGAGAGACCAAAGGAGGCAAGAGGAAGAGAGGGCCACCATAGTCACCAGGCCAAAACCCATCATCTGATTGAAGAGCTGAGTAATACCTCAAAGCCCCTCTCAGTGCAACACTCACCACTTCTTCATTCCCTGCCCCTTCTTCCTTCACCCTCACTTGTGGGAGCTTCTCCATTGGTTTCCCTTTCTCCCTCAACATCTGCTCAAGTAATTCAACAACTGGTCTATAGATAGACTGCAAGGATCTTCAATCTTTCTTACCATATTTTTAGACCGGATATATATGTATATATATATAGACAATATCGATATTATAAATCACGCGTATTATATAGGATTAGTAATAAAGAAAGGCCACCTGAAAACGAAAGAGAAGATCGGAACTGTGTTTGGAACGAAACCGGCCGATAGTGAAGTTTCGACGCAATTCGGAGATGTGTTTGATGTCTTGGGGGCTTCCAAATCGTTCGTCAAACTCCCAAAACTGTCTTCCCAAATTCCCATTCACACTCTCTTCCTCTTCTTCTCCTTCCGACAGCTTCACTCTCCACATCTCTCTCTCTCTCTCTCTCTCTCTCTCTCTCTCTCTCTCTCTCTCTCTCTCGTTATAGTATGAGAATATATATATAAACCCAAGAGATTGTTTATTTTATGGTAGATGGAGGAGTTGAAGACAAATTACAATTTAAAAGGATCTGTCACATATTTGAGAAAAGGCATCTAGAACATTTGTTTACTTTATTCGTACACAAGATTCTTTCGTTATACCATACAAATTCTGATCGTTCTCAATGGTATGGAAGCTGAAATTTTTTGGCAGTTGGGCTGTTTATATCACATAGGACAATATAAAGATTTATCAATTATTATTATTATTTTGAAATATATAAGTCGGTTCATTATTCAGGTTAATTGTAGGAGTGGACCTTGATAAATGATGCAGTCCACGACTATAATGGATATCTATAATATATAATATAATATCGTTACGAAAAAGTGAATTATAGATTAGTTTCTTTTTTTTTCTTCTTATACGGCAATTTTGTTTTATTTCTATGAATTGTGCATGAAGGTGGATGATTCAAATATATATATATATAGCCTTTCATATGATCCTTTGCCTATATTATTGAACTCCATATTTCTCGTTTTTTTCCTTTCTTTTTGGTATATATATATTTTAATTACATTATTAATTAGCGTAATCGATAAAACAATAAGAGATTGTTAAATAGTTAAAGTTTGGATTTTGGTTTGGGGGTTCGGTTTCAACTTGGTTCGTTCTAGTGTCTTGAACCGAACTTAACCGCAAACGAGGAGTTAGTTATGCTTGATAGCTCATCAGCCTTTGTCTGAAAACTGAAACGTAATACTAATTACGCTATTTTTGGAAAAAAAAAATAAAGGCGAAATTACAACACAGGAAAAAAAACAAACACATGCAAGAAGGACCGGAGAATCGGAAACTGTGGGAAACCACAAACGGGGAGGAGTGGACAAAAATGGTTGCCGAAATGAACGAAGGATCGATAATTAGGGTTATAAGTGTAAAGAGGACAGAGCGTCTGTTCTTGTTTCTTGTTACGCACGTTTCCTCCCTTTCTTCTCCCTTCCCCTCTCTCTCTCTCTCTTGTAGCATCCTCCTCTTGAAGAGCCTTAAAGAGGAGAGCTCTTGAGAAGGAGAAGAGGGTAGGAGCCCAGCCATCCTTCGGGTTTTTTCTCTCTCTTTTCTTTTCATCTCTCTCTAAAAGAACAAAAAAAAAAATGGCGTCTGATATATCGTGGGATGAACTCAAGAAGGAGAACGTGGATCTCGTAAGCGATTCCCTCATCTCGTCTCTCGTTCAAATCTTGATTCTGTCATGGGTTTCGCCATGAATATACGAATATGGAAACTGTTGATCCGCTAACAGGGGTTTTATGTATGAATGTAGGAGAATATCCCTGTCGAAGAAGTGTTTGAACAGCTGAAATGCTCGAGGGAAGGTTTATCGAGCGAAGAAGGGAGGAAGAGGCTCGAGATTTTCGGGGCAAACAAGCTCGAGGAGAAATCGGAGAACAAGTTTCTGAAGTTTCTAGGGTTCATGTGGAACCCTCTTTCATGGGTCATGGAATCTGCAGCCATCATGGCTATTGTTTTGGCCAATGGAGGAGGAAAGCCACCGGATTGGCAAGACTTTGTCGGTATCACTGTCTTGCTTATCATCAATTCCACCATCAGTTTCATCGAAGAAAACAACGCTGGTAACGCCGCAGCCGCACTCATGGCTAACCTTGCCCCGAAAACTAAGGTACAACGACACTAACTCTGTTTGAATTCATATATACATATATATATATATATATATGTGTGTGTGTGTGTTAGAGTTCGTGTTCGTACCAGTATATATGCATGAACTTGGCTCAATGTTTCGTGGAATATAGGTGTTGAGGGATGGGAAATGGGGCGAGCAAGAGGCAGCGATTCTGGTTCCGGGTGATCTGATCAGCATCAAGCTAGGCGATATCGTTCCCGCTGATGCTCGTCTTCTCGAGGGTGATCCTTTGAAGATCGACCAATCTGCTCTCACCGGTGAATCCCTTCCCGTGACTAAGAACCCGGGCAACGAGGTTTTCTCGGGCTCAACTTGCAAGCAAGGCGAGATTGAAGCAGTTGTTATCGCTACCGGTGTCCATACCTTCTTTGGAAAAGCCGCTCATCTTGTTGACAGTACCAACAACGTTGGACACTTCCAAAAGGTGCCCATATATATACAAAAACACATTGAATCTTTTAAGCAAATCTCTCTTGTTTTACCTCGGGTTTTTTCATCCTTTCGCATCATTGTTTCAGGTTCTGACAGCGATCGGTAACTTTTGCATCTGCTCCATCGCGGTGGGAATGCTCATTGAGATTGTGATAATGTACCCTGTCCAACACCGAGCGTACAGAGATGGTATCGACAATCTGTTGGTACTTCTGATCGGAGGAATCCCGATCGCAATGCCAACCGTCTTGTCTGTGACAATGGCCATTGGTTCACACAGACTGTCTCAACAAGGAGCTATCACCAAGAGAATGACGGCTATCGAAGAAATGGCAGGGATGGATGTTCTCTGCAGTGATAAAACCGGAACCCTAACCCTAAACAAGCTTACCGTAGACAAAACCCTGATCGAGGTTGGTGCTAAAAGTGTTTGTGCCATCCACTTTTGGCCATCAGAGCTCAAAAAACTTGGATTCCAAACACACAAGAATGAATGTGACAGCCCTTATGGGGGTGGTATTTACATTTTGTAGGTGTTCCCAAAAGACTTGGATGCAGATAGTGTTCTCCTGCACGCTGCCAGAGCCTCCAGGGTCGAGAACCAGGATGCTATTGACGCTTGCATTGTTGGAATGTTGAGTGATCCAAAGGAGGTACTCATCTTTCTATCGATAAACATATTTTCTTGTTCGGTTGGATTTGCCTGTATAGTAACCAGTTAGTTGATTTTCAGGCAAGAGCTGGAATCACAGAGTTGCATTTCCTACCCTTCAACCCTGTAGAGAAACGTACGGCAAACACATACGTTGATGCTAATGGTGACTGGCACAGGAGCAGCAAAGGTGCTCCTGAGCAGGTAATGACAAACTAAAATTGATTATTCTCCTTCGTTTAGACGCGGATTTCTCTCGTACTTGACTGAACAAACCTTCTCTCGAAATCAGATCATTGATCTCTGTGAGCTCAAGGGAGAGACACTGAAAAAAGCTCATGAAGTCATTGATAGCTATGCTGAGAGAGGACTCCGTTCTCTTGCAATAGCACGCCAAGTACATTACCAACAACATCTCCTTCAATAAGATTCTTTAATGCATGATTCTTTGACATGCCGATGATGAATCGCTTTGTCAATCCAATTACAGACTGTGCCGGAGAAGACCAAGGAAAGCGTTGGAAGCCCATGGGAATTCGTTGGGTTGTTACCGCTCTTTGACCCACCAAGGCATGATAGTGCAGAGACGATCAGGCGTGCCCTTGAACTCGGTGTTAATGTCAAGATGATTACAGGTGATCAACTCGCCATTGGAATTGAGACTGGTCGTAGGCTTGGCATGGGAACCAACATGTACCCTTCATCTTCACTTTTGGGCACATCCAAGGATGAGTCACTTGCTGGCATCCCAGTCGATGAGCTCATCGAGAAGGCTGATGGATTTGCCGGAGTTTTCCCTGGTACATACATTCACCTCTCCAATATGAAAATCCATATAAAGATTCATCCACATGACCGTTTTCCCTTCGTGATATTTCCTCTGTTCCTGCAGAACACAAGTATGAGATTGTGAGAAAACTCCAAGAAAGGAAGCATATTTGTGGTATGACTGGAGATGGTGTGAACGATGCTCCAGCTTTGAAGAAGGCAGACATTGGAATTGCGGTGGCTGATGCAACTGATGCGGCTCGAAGCGCCTCAGACATTGTTCTTACAGAGCCGGGATTGAGCGTGATCATTAGTGCAGTGTTGACGAGCCGTGCCATTTTCCAGAGAATGAAGAACTACACCATCTATGCGGTTTCAATCACTATCCGTATTGTTCTTGGGTTCATGCTCGTGGCATTGATCTGGAGATTCGATTTTGCACCTTTCATGGTTTTGATCATCGCGATCCTTAATGATGGAACCATCATGACAATCTCCAAGGACAGAGTGAAACCCTCTCCCGTCCCCGACTCTTGGAAACTCAAGGAGATTTTCGCTACCGGTGTCGTCTTAGGAACCTACATGGCCCTTACCACAGTTCTCTTCTTCTGGCTTGCTCAAAGCACTGACTTCTTCTCGGTAAGCATATCATCATGTCAAAACCGTGATTTTTTGTCACTCGTCGTTGGTAATGACCCTATCCGAATGAACTTGCAGAACAAGTTTGGCGTTAGGTCAATCCAAGGGAAAGAAGAAGAGCTAATGGCGGCTCTATACCTTCAAGTGAGCATCATCAGTCAGGCCCTTATCTTCGTCACCAGATCAAGGAGCTGGTCATTCGTGGAACGGCCGGGGCTTTTGCTCCTTGGAGCCTTCATCATTGCTCAGTTGGTTAGTAGAATATCCTCTCTTGCATCTGCAATTCCTGTCCATTTTTAGTGCACTTTGTTATGAGACATTTTCATTCTCACAGGTGGCTACGGTTATTGCTGTGTATGCACATTGGGAATTCGCAAGGATCGAAGGTTGTGGTTGGGGATGGGCCGGAGTCATCTGGGCATACAGTATCGTCACCTACATTCCTCTCGACATCCTCAAGTTCATCATCCGCTACTCCCTAAGTGGCAAGGCCTGGGACAACATGATCGAAAATAAGGTAAAGTACACGAGGAGAAGACTTTGAAAAAACTGAAAACAAGGAATCATAGGTTCATATTTCAACCTGTTTCATTGTTGCTTCTTCTGTTTTCACAGACAGCTTTCACGACGAAGAAAGACTACGGAAAAGGACAGAGAGAGGCTCAATGGGCATTAGCTCAACGTACCCTACACGGCCTTCCTCCTCCAGAAGCAATGTTCCATGATCACAATCACGAGCTATCAGAAATAGCCGAGCAAGCCAAGAGACGTGCTGAGGTTGCAAGGTAAACAGTTTCTTCCTGCATATTCTTGTAGGTCATGAAATTTTCTGGACCAACTAACAAGGTGAAGCTTTCTTTCGGTTTGTTGTCAGGCTGAGGGAGCTTCACACTCTTAAGGGCCATGTTGAATCCGTGGTGAAGCTGAAGGGACTTGACATCGATACCATTCAACAACACTACACTGTCTAAACCAGTTCAAAGGCTTTCTAATGAAGGTTTATTAGTAACCATAATCTTTGTATTCTTGTTCTGCTTTTTTTTTTTTATATATTCATCAAATTAAAATTGTAAGAGAGCTAAAATGAGAATATGTTTTTCCCGTTGGACTGAAAATATCGCCTAACTACGTAAAAAGTAACCCGCTTGAATTTTCTCTGTTACTGTAACACCTGGTTCATATGACTGTATAATACTATGCTAAAGCTCTACATTTCTATAGTAAAAGCACGGTCACATCATCACAGCAAAATGTAATTCCAATACAAGAGTTATATAAGCAAAACTCCTCCACCTCCTATGTTACTTGGCCCAACATATAGTAACCAGAGATTAGTGAAGGTATCCAGCATGTAAAAGGTACCATAATGCCGCATCAGCAGCATGTTCTGCCGCACCTTTCTTGGTTGGTTTGGCCGCACCATAGCACTCCAGGGTCAGACCCGAGGAATCTGCTACTTTGATGATAACCTTATAAGTGAATCTGTATACACGTAATGGACTACATGAGCAAATATAACCGGAATGCAAGTGTTGAAAATTGATAAGATTCAATTATAGATAACAAAAGTAGTGATATGGGCAAAAGCCATGGAAACTGTCCAAAGAGCCATGTGCTCGGTTCATGTTCATGTCTTCAACATGAAAGAATAGGGTATAAAATTTCATTGCAAATATTATACATCAGATAATCAAGAGAAGAATTGAGCACTGTCATTACTTACGATTTTATATGGTCTGGTCCTTCTTCCTCACAACATTGGAAATCTGGTGGTTTCCAGCAATTGGCAACACACGTTTCATATAAGCGGGATCTTGCTGTTTTGTTGTTTAATCCACCTGTTTAGTCATTTACATAGATAACTCAGGTAACGAACCCAAATCTACAACCATTAAAATCAATATAGATAATGGATAATAGCAGTAGGACAATAGAATGCAAACCTTTCATATCTGAAATTGTCGGAAAAATTGCTTCTCCGTTTGCCTGCTTAGAAAGCCATTCTCGTGTTTCTGATAAAAGCCCACTGATAATTGGCTCAACGCTGCATGAGGAACTTGCTTCAACAACCCTACAATCAGTCCCGGAATCATTGTGAAACGAGTCTTCCAAATTCAGCAGTCCAAAGTCTATGCCATCAAGATCTGTAACATCTACAGATTCTTCATTGTAGCCAATGCCATCAAGATCTGTAACATCTACAGGTTCTTCATTGTAGCCAATCAATTTAGCTTCCATTCTGCTGCTATCCTTTAAAACTTTCTCCAATGGGTTAGTTATTGTTATGCAGATATGAGCCTGCATATGAATACAAAAAGAGCTCCTTAACAAACAAGTTTCCACGCTATTACATGGTATATCAAATAACAAATATACGTGGTGGTAGATAACATTGCTCTGATTTCAGATTACCTTAAGCTCCTTAATCATCATCTCTGCAGCCTTCCTTGTGCTCTCTCTTTTGCTTCGACCAGTTGCGGAAACATTAAGACAGGAATCCTCCTTAGTCAGTTTTACTTCAACAGAATAAGCACCATCCACCTTTTTCTTTGAAATTTCCTGATTCCACTTCAGAGACTGGCTAAGTTCAAGCAGCTCCCTAACAGGACTAAGTTGCACATTCGACGTGTTTTTCACTGGATCTAGAAACAATAGCATCGTTTTCCAAACATTGTTCAAGTTGAACCCTGAGTCTACAAGCATAGCCCCAAAATAAGATTCGATCAAGTCACCGAGAACCTGCATATCAATACAACAGCAATAATAAATCTTCTTGTGATTGCCAAGGTCAAGATTTTTCATTATGTTGGTTCAGCCGATCAAAAATGAGAAGTCAAACAAAAGAGAAAGGCGTAAAAGGCTTGAATGCATTATCATCTCGATTAGAATTTATCCAAAATGAGAAACAGATACAGAAACTAAGAAGAGAACTCAAAACAGAGAGGTTTAGCATTATTGAGAAATGTGAACTGAAGTATATTCCGTCCTAAATTTCCTTACACATTTAGCCATGAGAAAATATAACATATTTCAACATCAGGGAAAAATTTATGCTATGCCTAGCATATTCATAAGCAAAAAACCAAAACCCAGACAAGTTGTGAGTATGATTTCCTGATAGCTCAAGTTCAAATATGGACACACTAAAACATGAAACAGAAGCTACCAAAATTTACTTTCTCCCGGACAAAAGAAATAACCAAACATACCTTTGGACATTTAGGAACTTCAGATAGTCCACTTTCAGGTGGTGATACAGCCAAGAAATCAGTATAATCTTTTATAGCTTCACGGAGAAAAACAGAGTCACACAAAAGAAATCTGTCAAGGGAAAGACTGATGGCAACATTAGCAAATGCCTTATTATTTACAGAGAGCGACCGCAAATCTGTCAGTTGACCAGGTTTCAGATTTGGATAGACTGTGAAAAAATAGGACGTGATTAAGTAGTCCAGAACAGCATCGCCGAGAAACTCCAATCTCTGGTAAATTTCATGAACAAAATATCGGTTACCATACAGGAGTAATAAGATAATAAAAGGAAGTCACCAGAGGAGAGAAGAAAAGAAACCTGGTAGCAACCTCCCCCATGCCTGTTGTAAGAAGGATGGACAAAGGCTTGTAGAAGAAGACCTTTGTTGAAAAACTTATAACCAAGAATGTCCTCAAGGGCAGCCAAATCGATGTGAGAAGTAAGCGGCATGTAGATATTGCTACCAATGCAAGCATCTCGTACTTTCGAGGGTTCAAAACCAACATCTATCCCTATCCATCTAAGAAATGCAGTTGCACCTTTGAAGCCACTGTCAACTATGAATGCTCCAATAAGAGCCTCAACCACATCTGCTATCGTTTTCTTGTGCAACCAATGATGGCCTTTGCTGCATCGGATTGCATTAGAACAACAGGCTGGAGTTCCATGCAGAGAATTAATTTCTTTTGCAGCTCCCTCTTCACAGGTTACTTTGCATGGATGGCCCAAAGCAAAGAACTGACCAGGATTGAAAGTTTGGTCACGTATGTAAACCTGAAGGAGTCATGAGGACAAAACATGATTATAAACTAGAGACGAGTCATTTACAACATAAAAGGCATTCTAAAATCTAAGACAAGTGATTTAGCATGCCTGAGCAGTATACATGAGCATAGGTTCCAACTGCATTTTATGCATTAGTATTGGTATCTGTCATCTATTACAGACTGAAATAGCTTAAATAAGGGCCAAAAAGCAAAAGCCCTAAGAAAGAAATATTAAAAATCACCTGCAGATTGCTCCTGATTGCAAGGCTGAACAAGTTGGAATTGTTAACAATATTAGAACGTCTCCGAGTTAGTTCTCCCTCGTCGAGGTTATGATAGAGTAAGAAAAGGCGGCGACTGACAGCAAATTTCAGGAATGCATCACCGAGCACCTCAAGCCTTTCAAGAGAAAACCGCTCCTGGCACTTCTCGGTCGTAAGTGCCTCAAGCACCTGTAATAATTCACTTAGTCAAAGACAGATAGAAAAAAGGCCCATGCTTTGCCAGTTTCCGCGAAAACCAAGCATATGAATTATCAGGTGAGGTGAGGTTATACTCTGTGACCAGAAACTTCAGCAGCTTCAGGGATTGAAGCAGAAAGCATATCCCTCAGTTCAATTGCTACAAGTAAATTCTCGAGGCGATGCATGAGAGATGGTAGCAAGGACAACGAACTTCCAATTTCTTTAGAAAATCCTTTTATCTTTAATTGACAAAGCTCAGGAGGAAGCTCGATGAAGTATTCCTCAAGTTCCTGTGGTTCTGTGTTTGGCAAAGTGAGAATAGTAAGCAACAATTGAATACATATATATATATATGTGTGTGTACATGATATATAAGCATGTACGTGCATAGGAACTTGAAGTCATATAAACAGAGTGAGAAAGAAATTACCTAAATTGCTCAGGTTCCGATTGTTCAGCAAGTTCCGCAAATGGAAAACTGGTTTCACAAGTAGGAGAGGTTGGTTGGGGTGCTTGAGTTCTATGTCATACCTATTTTTGCACATATAGATGAGAACTTCTTGAAGTTCAAGAATAATCATGTGGAAATAAAGGCTAAAATCCCAACCAACTTTCTAAAGTAATTTTTGAAACTATAAGAAAGTTATAATGCTATGTAAGTTATCAGGAAAAAAAAACAAAAAATAGAACATATAAATACATAAACTCCCCAAGTAAAATTTCAGTCAAATCATTAGTAAAAAACAGTAGTTTAGTAGCTTACGTTTTATGCACCCTCTCCACATGGCTTTGGGAGCTTGATTCCTTAAACTGACTGAGAATTTTTTTTATGGCAAACATCAACAACAAAGTAAAAATGTTTGTTGTGTGTGGCAAAAACCAGGCTGTTCTTCACATTACCAATGCTCCAAAAACCATTTGCAAGATTTAAGTGAAAGCCCGTTGGAGGAACTACACCTTCAACAAGATCAGATGGAGCCTTGAAGATTGGAGATGACATAAATTTTCTGAGAGTTTCCCAATCTACAGTTATACCGCCTTTAGTGTCATGCACATGAACCGGAAGCAGAAGGTAGAAGGTACAGATACTTGTTACAGAGGAATCCTGCATTCCCAGTGGAACAAACTCAGGAATGAGCTCTCGTCGTTCAAGAATAGCCTTTAGGGCAACCTCCTGGAAAAGCTCCGCTAGCCTTATCTACATGGCAGTAAACAAGTAAGATGAGTTGTTCAGTCAGTACAAATTATTCAATTAAGGCAACAATACCTCATTGCCGTTGAACTCAGTGATTCATGCTGCGAGAAGATTCACATACACAGATCTACGATGAGCAAGGTGAAGATCAATTTCCATTCTCTCACCCTCCACAGGGAGAGGCGATTTCAGGAAGAGACCAAAATTTCTGTAGACTCTATCCTCAGGAACAGGCACAAACTTTATATAGTATGAATGAAGGTTGACACAATCCATTGATTTATCCCATTGTTGTTTAAGCAAGGTAGGAACCAGCATCTCATACAGTCCATCTCGAGAACTTTCTTCACCTGAAAAGAAAAAGAGAGAGAATGGTTATCTAAGACACCCAAATAGCATAGGCAACAGATGTTTTCAACATAAACCAATTACTCACCTTCACTACTATCAGAATCAGATTCATCATCTATAGATTCTTCCGCAATCTCATCATTCGACTGTGGCAAGAGAAAGGTGTTAAGTACGCCCAGTTTGTGCAATTCTTCCACTGCCTTCAGACAAGCATCCTTCTTAGCAGCTTCACTAGAAGGTTGCAGCGAACTGACAATCTTGCGTAAAGGAGCATTGGAAGGTAAAACTATGTGACAGATGGTTCCACTTAAATCATCGATGAAAAAGAACTCTGGCTTGGGCTGAAAAAATCTGGAGAGAAGAAAATGAAGAGTCATGGGAACTGAATTAGGACACCATTCTAACACACCCAAATATTTATGAGAAGAAAACAGTTTTCCCAACAGAACTAGGAGACATACTCATCATGTGGAAGCCTGGAACAGTAATGATGTAACAGGGAAATGCTAGATCCAGCAGTGACTGAAGCCCCAGTTTGATCAACTCTGTAGATCCGCTCATCAATACTAGGAAATGTATCTTTTGACGTTCTGGCAGAAATTTCCACATTCATTCGCTCTTCTTCTATTTTAAAATTTTTAATTAAATCCAATTCTTTTTTGTTGGCCCTGCATGACAAACAATAGTGATCTTAATCGGCATTGGAAAGGAAAGAGGAAAATTATACACAAGGTCTTATCGGAATTCACTCCAGTGCACCTGTTCACTAGAAATGCATATTCAGACTGAGGCATCCGAGCACGGCCTCTTGATTGAATGAGGCTGGCAACGGTTTCTGGAAGATCGAAACGTATCACAAGACAACATGTCTGAATATCAAGACCTTCTTCACCAACTTGAGTAGCGACCAAAAGATTCAGCTACAACAGAAAAAGAATTAACAATAACTATTGGTTAAGCATGTTAAAGAGCAGGCGTCTCCTCACACTAGCTATCGGTTAAGCAGTGTTAAAATGTCACCTCTCCAGATCGGAACCTTTCGAGTATTGCATTCAAGCCCATTCTTGAGATGCTTTTCAGTCCACAGTTGACTCCAACAAGGAAATCGGACTTCCAAGAATTTAGGAATTTCATGTTCTTTAGTATGTAGGCCAAAGTTCTTGCGATCACAATCCGTTTGACAAATATTATGCACTTCATGTTTGGCTGTGACCTGAAAGAAAATGAGAAAAAAAACTTACCACAAAACATATACTTTTGTTTCTCTTTCTCGGCAAACTCATGAGCATGCCTGAAGAATCAAGCAACAGGACTCGACAGGTGATAAGAAGTTACAAATGGCCATGGTCATAATAAATTTTCAGCACTCCATTTAAAAGAAACTTAAGTGCCCATGCCACCACAAATTAAAAGTAAAAGGTTATTTTGCCTATTACTTTGAGAGAAGAGATATGATAACTTCTGGACATAGCTCCACTGATGATAGGATAATTCCATCCAGTATATATAATCCCATCAGCGTTCTATCTGGTAGGTTCTATATCAAATCTTAGAAAAACTGAGAAACCTAAATAAAAAAGAGATAGGTCATCCTGGACTAGTGCTTCTTCCATAAAGCATGCTTGTCATTTATATGGAAAATGAAATGGTAGGATTCAGGCTTGCAGCTGTATAGTAACCGCTCAAGAGAATCAATGGCAGCCCATAAATTCATTCTTGCACTTACTCTCTTTGAAATGTCTAGAGAACATGGTCTAACAAAAAAAATTGGTCTTGCTATTTATTTAACTCAAATACCAACCTGTATGTGGAAAGTATTCCAATCAACCTTTGAAGCTTTCCAGAGAAAAATGGATCCTGTAAAAATTCTACGCTGGATACTTTGGATGCAATCTCATCTAAAATCACAGCGAAAAGGAAAGGAAACAGATATTGAGCCAACCACTTTGGTTAATAGAGCATCCACATGCAAATAATAAATGAAGAGAAAAGTGAACAACTTGGTGGACCACAGCTTACGCCATTGCAGAAATAAGAAGGAATATTTTAATGACATAATCTTCGGAAGATAATATGGTAGAGTACCATGGTGTCTTACCCTCGTCAAAATCAGAAGAGAGGGCTCTCGCAGCTAGAGGAAGGTACATATTACACAGAGAATAATCGTTGGACTTTTCATCCTCTCTCAATAGCTCCCCTCTCACACTTTGATCGCCATTCAGTAGAATTCTAGTAGCCTATGAACCAGTAGCAGAACCCATTAGCAGATCACATATTTAATCTACACAACAAAATAACAGATAAAGGCCACAAGATGGAAAGTTGCATCTTGTGGCCTTTATTCTGGATACTGTTCATAAATAAACAAAGAAAAACTGCACAGTGCACATGACCTCTCTCGACTTTGTCCTCCACGAAATATTCTCATATTCATGAATCAGAAGTTATCTCCAGCATCCCAGTGAACATTTCACTAGAACAATTCACTTTCTCCTCTTTTTTCAAAATTTTCTCTGTTCTATTCCCTCTTGTAGATCTAGTACTATTAGTTGTAGGTTCAACAACGGCAGGACTCTGCTATTTCTTAACTTGCATCTCATTGGCAATTAAGATTATTAGGCTACACTGTATCAGTACCAGAAAACGGGAATTTGAATATGACTGCATAGTGAAAGAAATGGAAGTTATCAAAGCTGCAAACCAGCTAATACAGGTGATCAACACCAATTGGAAACAGACAAGAAAACAAACACTATCAAAGAAACCTGATAAGGTGGCAACAGAATATGAATACCTGAAGTGCTCCCCAGAGGCCAAGATTCTCCAAAACATTAATGATATTATCATGCGTTCTCTTGAGAAGCTTTTTCATGTTCAGGAGGCTCTTATGACTGAGATTGTTATCTGTCTTTGTTTTCAGTGATGCAAAGACCTCCTGTTTGATTTCCTCTAGCTTATATTGGTATACCAGGTTTGAGCAAGATGTATCATTCAAAGCTGAGCCATAATAATATACTTTGACCATAGGAGATGCTACAAAACTTTCCAGTTCATCATTGTTTTCCACTGAACAAACCTATAGGATCAAGGGGAAAAAAGGGATAGACCATTGTTTGAGAATTCCAACTGCATGATGGATATAATATATAATTAAGCGACAAAGAGATATGACTGCTGCCTATACAAATAGCAAAAGCTATTATTCTCAGAATGTTTCTTTTCACTGCAGAAACACCCAAATTAATATCCCATGGGAAACTTATCTTGTACAGCAAAGCAAAGAAAATTCCTAGTTCTGATTGCCACTGCTAGAACAGAGGATTGCCAAGTTCTAAAAGTAAAATTCTCAATGAAAATGGGTGCAGAACTAATAAACCTTTAAATCAGGACTTCTGATAGCATACCTTGGCATTGAGCATAATTTCAAGGCTGTTTATGCTTTTTGCTAAATTCTCTTGCTGAAAAGCTCCTGCCAAATAGGTATACCGGTGAAAACTAACCATAAAGAGAAGGAAGCTGACTAAAGATTACGCCCATCAGCAAGAGAGCAACAAATTTCAATTGAAAGCATATAAACCAGCAGCAACCAACGCATATGTCCTTTGCTGAATCTCTGGAATCAGCGAGAGGAATTAAAGTTGGGACTACCTTTGCCTACCACTGGAGAGGCAGTCATTCCAAATATACGAGGAAGCTTTGAACCATTTGTTTCATAGAACACCTGTATTTTATGAACCAACTTAAAGCTGATTTTTGTATGCCAATATCAGTTCAGAGAATATGATGCTAAAAAGAGTGGATTAAATTGACCTTCATGATTTGTGCATAGGGATGGTTGCTTTTGACTTGAGCATGGTGACACTCATCAAAAACTAAAAGGGAAATGTGGTCCATCCTGATGAAACAGTGTTGTAAATTATGCAGAAGTATTTGAGGCGTCATTACAAGAACCTGCAGGAAATGTTCAGCCACAAGGGAAAAGAAGCAAAAAAAATTGATTCCTCAATGAGCAACCGATCCAAGTTAACTGTTAACCAAGTGAAACTTTTTACAGAATGCCTCCTAACCTGCAAGTTCAAATAAAATGTCAAAAATAAAACAAGCAAGTCACCTCCTTGTCTGAAATCTCTTTCTCCCAGTCAGAATGGGTCTTCAGATGCTTGGTTCCACCACAATGAATCCCAACATTGAAGTCTATTGACTCTGCTATGACCCGGGCTTGCTATAAAGTAACAACAAACTTTGAATACGCAAAGACAGCATGAACTTGAAGGAAGAAAATGGATCATTCACAATAAAATTCTCACCTGTTGCACCAACGCCACGGTAGGAGCAAGAAATATACATACGCTTTTTTCAGGGCTACGAATCAGGTGACCAAGCTCATATATAAGCAGAACCGCGATATGGGTCTTCCCACAACCCGTACCCAAATACACGACAATGTTTTCCTCGGTCGCTTTCTTGCACAGCTCGATCTGATACCTTTAAGACAAAACCAAGATGCATTATGATGTTTCCCATTTAAACACAGGAACTCTACAACACTGAAAAAAAAAAGAAAAGGATTCTCTTGGAGAACAACGTTTCTGATCATCTTCTTTGTCTTTTCTTTTCTTCTGCAACCAAGACGATCGGCCAAAATTATACATCTACTGTCCGGTTTTCGCCATTAGACAAGATTTCGCAAACCTTTAGCAGCAACAACAAAAACCCAGAAGCAAAAATGTCTTCCTTCCTCGTAAAGAAAACCGAAAAAGATTCCAACATTCAGAATGTACCTTCTTGCTTTTCTTCTGGGATCTTTCTCCATGTTCAGTGATGGATCATCCGGGTAAGTACCCACTTCGACCATTGCAGCCACCGGCGAGGAAGAAGTAGAAGCACGGTGAATGGCGGAACCACCGTCACCAGCGACGGCGGCGGCGGAGAGAGTAACGTCACCGGACTCGCCGTCAGGCATGGAGGAAGAAGAGGGGAAAAGGAATGGAAAGCAAAAGCTGAAGTGGGGAAAGTTGGCAGCGTTAGATTCTTTTACAAAGAAATAAAACCTGGTCGCGAAGTAAAGTAATTCCCCGCTGTTTGGTATTGGGAATTTTCTGGCGTGTTTTCCTCTCTTTTTCCCTGGAAAATTTCCCCCTCAGATAACATTCACGCCCATTTCCACGCCACTTATATAAAACAAACAAAATGATATGCAAGGAAAGTTTTAGTATTTATTTCTGCTAGGCTACTCAGATATTTTTGGTAATAAAAACATCAATTTCAAAATATATACTATACAAATATATTATCTTTAAAATTTCTAAGTAAATATACCAATTTTTCTAAATTTACGAGATTCTCATACGCGGTAACGGTGTTATATTTAACGGAATCTAATAATGACGTATAAAGTAATTCATAGACGGTAATTGTGTTATATTTGACGGAATCCAAAAACGACGTAACGTGACTTAAACTTCTATCTATAGTGTTTTTTATAAAAAATCATATATAAATATCTAAACTTTTACAAAAATCACAAATAAATATATTAACTATAAAATTTTTATATAAATATCTGAAATTTTTAAAAATTCTATATAAATACTTCGATTTTTGAAATTTTCCCAAACAAACTCAAAATTCAGGTATTTCTCGAATAAAAATAATCGATACTAGTAACGAATTTTTTGTTTATTTGAAATTTTTTTCAAAAAATTTAGGTATTTTTGTAGAATTTTAAAAAATTCAGTTATTTATACGAAAGTTTTATATTTCAGGTATTTATTTGAGATTTTTATAAAAATTTAATTAGTTAAATATTATTTTCTCGTTTTCTTACGTAAAAACTCGTAATCACTATTTTTTTTAATGTGCACCGGATAAATCTTCAATTTGATATAATATTCTTTAAAACACACGAGAGTTGTAAAACCAGTTTAAATTGTTTTCCTCTTTTCTTTTCCCACGAAAATTCTCTCTTAGAGAAAATTCACACTCATTTTCACGCCACTCATATAAAACAAACAAAATGAATACAAAATGGGTCATCGATGTGCAATGAGAGTTTTGGTATTTATTTCTGTTACACTACTCAGGTAATTTTGGTAATAAAAACATCAATTTCAAATTATGTACTATACAAGTATATTATCTTTAAAATTTGTAAATAAATATACCAATTTTTCTAAATTTACGAGATTCTCATACGCGGTAACGGCGTTATATTTAACGGAATCTAATCATGACGTATAAAGTAATTCATAGACGGTAATTGTGTTACATTTGACGGAATCCAAAAACGACGTAACATGACTTAAACTTTTATCTATAGTGTTTTAAAAAAAATCATATATAAATATCTAAACTTTTACAAAAATCACAAATAAATATATTAATTATAAAATTTTTATATAAATATCTGAAATTTTTAAAAATTCTATATAAATACTTAGATTTTTGAAATTTTACCAAACTCAAAATTCAGGTATTTTTTGAATAAAATAATCGATATTAGTAATGAATTTTTTGTTTACTTGAAATTTTTTTCAAAAAATTTAGGTATTTTTGTAGAATTTTAAAAAATTCAGTTATTTATATAAAAGTTTTATATTTCAGGTATTTATTTGATATTTTTATAAAAATTTAATTATTTAAATATTATTTTCTCTTTTTTTACGTAAAAACTCATAATAACTATTTTTTTGAATGTGCACCGGATATATCTTCAATTTGATATAATATTCTATAAAAAACATGAGAGTTGTAAAACCGGTTTAAATTGTTTCCCTCTTTTCTTTTCTCAGGAAAATTCCCTCTTAGAGAAAATTCACACCCATTTTCGGACCACTCATATAAAACAAACAAAATGAATACAAAATGGATCATCAATATACAAGGAGAGTTTGGTATTTATTTCTGCTATACTACTCAGATACTTTTGGTAATAAAAACATCAATTTCAAAATATGTACTATACAAGTATATTATCATTAAAATTTTTAAATAAATATATCAATTTTTCTAAATTTACGAGATTCTCATACGCGGTAACAGCGTTATATTTAACAGAATCTGATAATGACGTATAACGTAACTCATAGACGGTAATTGTGTTACATTTGACGGAATCCGAAAACGACGTAACGTGACTTAAACTTTTATCTATAGTGTTTTTTAAAAAAAACATATATAAATATCTAAACTTTTACAAAAATCACAAATAAATATATTAACTATAAAATTTTTATATAAATATCTGAAATTTTTAAAAATTCTATATAAATAATTAGATTTTTGAAATTTTCCCAAACTCAAAATTCAGGTATTTTTTGAATAAAATAATCGATATTAGTAATGAATTTTTTGTTTACTTGAAATTTTTTTCAAAAAATTTAGGTATTTTTGTAGAATTTTAAAAAATTCAGTTATTTATATAAAAGTTTTATATTTCAGGTATTTATTTGATATTTTTATAAAAGTTTAATTATTTAAATATTATTTTCTCTTTTTTTACGTAAAAACTCATAATAACTATTTTTTTTGAATGTGCACCAGATATATCTTCAATTTGATATAATATTCTATAAAAAACATGAGAGTTGTAAAACCGGTTTAAATTGTTTCCCTCTTTTCTTTTCTCAGGAAAATTCCCTCTTAGAGAAAATTCACACCCATTTTCGGACCACTCATATAAAACAAACAAAATGAATACAAAATGGATCATCAATATGCAAGGAGAGTTTGGTATTTATTTCTGCTATACTACTCAGGTACTTTTGGTAATAAAAACATCAATTTCAAAATATATACTATACAAATATATTATCTTTAAAATTTTTAAATAAATATACCAATTTTTCTAAATTTACGAGATTCTCATACGCGGTAACGGTGTTATATTTAACGGAATCTAATAATGACGTATAAAGTAATTCATAGACGGTAATTGTGTTATATTTGACGGAATCCAAAAACGACGTAACGTGACTTAAACTTCTATCTATAGTGTTTTTTATAAAAAATCATATATAAATATCTAAACTTTTACAAAAATCACAAATAAATATATTAACTATAAATTTTTTATATAAATATCTGAAATTTTTAAAAATTCTATATAAATACTTCGATTTTTGAAATTTTCCCAAACAAACTCAAAATTCAGGTATTTCTCGAATAAAAATAATCGATACTAGTAACGAATTTTTTGTTTATTTGAAATTTTTTTCAAAAAATTTAGGTATTTTTGTAGAATTTTAAAAAATTCAGTTATTTATACGAAAGTTTTATATTTCAGGTATTTATTTGAGATTTTTATAAAAATTTAATTAGTTAAATATTATTTTCTCGTTTTCTTACATAAAAACTCGTAATCACTATTTTTTTTAATGTGCACCGGATAAATCTTCAATTTGATATAATATTCTTTAAAATACACGAGAGTTGTAAAACCAGTTTAAATTGTTTTCCTCTTTTCTTTTCCCACGAAAATTCTCTCTTAGAGAAAATTTACACTCATTTTCACGCCACTCATATAAAACAAACAAAATGAATACAAAATGGGTCATCGATGTGCAATGAGAGTTTTGAAAATGGATCATCAATATTCAAGGAGAGTTTGGTATTTATTTCTGCTATACTACTCAGGTACTTTTGGTAATAAAAACATCAATTTCAAAATATGTACTATACAAGTATATTATCATTAAAATTTTTAAATAAATATACCAATTTTTCTAAATTTACGAGATTCTCATACGCGGTAACGGCGTTATATTTAACAGAATCTGATAATGACGCATAACGTAACTCATAGACGGTAATTGTGTTACATTTGACGGAATCCGAAAACGACGTAACGTGACTTAAACTTTTATCTAAAGTGTTTTTTAAAAAAAAACATATATAAATATCTAAACTTTTACAAAAATCACAAATAAATATATTAACTATAAAATTTTTATATAAATATCTGAAATTTTTAAAAATTCTATATAAATAATTAGATTTTTGAAATTTTCCCAAACAAACTCAAAATTCAGGTATTTTTTGAATAAAATAATCGATATTAGTAATGAATTTTTTGTTTACTTGAAATTTTTTTCAAAAAATTTAGGTATTTTTGTAGAATTTTAAAAAATTCAGTTATTTATATAAAAGTTTTATATTTCAGGTATTTATTTGATATTTTTATAAAAATTTAATTATTTAAATATTATTTTCTCTTTTTTTACGTAAAAACTCATAATCACTATTTTTTTGAATGGGCACCGGATACATCTTCAATTTGATATAATATTCTATAAAAAACATGAGAGTTGTAAAACCGGTTTAAATTGTTTTCCTCTTTTCTTTTCTCAGGAAAATTCCCTCTTAGAGAAAATTCACACCCATTTTCGGACCACTCATATAAAACAAACAAAATGAATACAAAATGGATCATCAATATGCAAGGAGAGTTTGGTATTTATTTCTGCTATACTACTCAGGTACTTTTGGTAATAAAAACATCAATTTCAAAATATGTACTATACAAGTATATTATCATTAAAATTTTTAAATAAATATACCAATTTTTCTAAATTTACGAGATTCTCATACGCGGTAACGG